GACAGAATGATCTCTGTTCATTTCCAAGGCAAACTATTCAATGTCATGGTAATCCAAGCCTATGCCCTCACCAGTAACACTGAAGAAGCTGAAGTTGAATGGTTCTATGAAGACCTACAAGACCTTTTAGAACTAACACCCGAAAAAGATGTCCTTTTCATTATAGGGGACTGGAATGCAAAAGTAGGAAGTCAAGAAACACCTGGAGTAACAGGCAGACTTGGCCTTGGAGCACAGAATGAGGCAGGGCAAAGGCTAATAGAGTTCTGCCAAGAGAATACACTGGTCATAGCAGACACCCTCTTCCAACGAAACAAGAGAAGACTCTACACATGTACATCGCCAGATGGATGACACTGAAATCAGATTGATTATATTCTTTGCAGCCAAAGATGGAGAAGCTCTACACAGTCAGCAAAAACAAGACCGGGAGCTGACTGTGGCTCAGATCATGAACCCCTTATTGCCAAATTCAGACTGTAGTGTTTACTACTGAATAAAAAAATTGATGTGTACGTGGACCTGCCCAGTTCAAACCTATGTTGTTCAGGGGCCACCTGTAGTCAGAAGGTCATATATATTAAACGTATACTTCTAAGATCTGTTTTTAGCATGTACACAACATAATCTGAGACTTAAAAGTTTTATCTTGATTAATTCAGACAAAGATCATCAGTACATGAAACTGTTAGGGGAAAGACTGACTGAAACCACACCCTTGGACCAGGCACCATAGTAAGTATTTGCATGCGTTATTTTAGGACAGAAGGTGCTGGTAAGGAACAAGGAACTAACAAGCCACCACCTGCCAGAAAAATCTGGGCAAGGTCAAAAGGAGAGAGGAGAGGCCAGTCTGTATGTCCTGCGAACTTCCCAGAATCCTCCTTGTTGGAATCCATCTGGGCCGAGCAGCGTGTGTGCCACCAGGAAGGACCCTGAGTCAGATGATTGGCCAGAGACAACCCAGAGACTCTTCCCATTACTGTAAGATCCGAGACTGCAAGTCCCATGGCAGGGCAGTCCTCCTGGGTTCCCTGACCTGCTGTCCGCCCAGGTGCCCCTTCCCGGTAAAGGCCTTGCTCTGTCAGCATGTGTGTCTCCTCGGACAGTTCATTTCCAAGTGTTAGACAGGAGCTCACTCTCAGACCCTGGACGGGGTACCCCTTTCTGCAACGAAACCCTAAAATGAAAGATTGGGAACTTGCGGGGGTGAGGCAGACTGACACCACGCGAACCCACTGCTTGATCTCAGCATGATTAGGAGTGGGTCACCCACGCACTTGTATCTCCTTGTTGTTACGCATCAGGAAGTACACGGACCGCTGATGAAGCATTCTTAGGGGGAAAAAATGTTGAACTAGAATATAAGCGAGTCATTAGCACTTCCATTTGGTGAAAAATACGAGGAACAAGTTCAGTGAAACTATGACTATGCAAAAAGAATGTGAGATGTCCTACAGGCCAGCTGGTAGGTCTCTTCCATAAACAAATGCATGAGAAGTGGTGAGACTGCTGAAGTTTAAACCAGACTTTTGAAATATAACAATGAAATGTAATGTGTCAACCATGTCTTATCCTAATGGAAGCCAACTGAAACCTTTTTTTTTTATCTTCTGCATTGGGGGCACAGAGTCTTAGCCACTGGACCACCGGGAAGTCGTGAAGCCACCTGAAACTTTTTTAAAACAATCAGGGATATTTGAATATAGATGTGGTATGAAGTGAAACAAAAGAATTGTTCCTTTATTTTCAGCGTGACAGTGGCTTTGTAGCTATGTAAGAGGTTGCCTGCTGCAGTGCGTGCACGCTGGCCTACACTGGCATCTCCAGCGCCTCCAGCACAGCACTGAGCGAGAGGTGTGAGAGTGACCTTGGGTAGCCTCGGCCTGCAATGGCTTGAAGCGGGGCTTGGGTTCCCAGCCAGAGGTTCAGGCCGGGTTGCGGCGCTGAGAGCACCAAATCCTAACCACTAGACCAGTGGTCACGGACAAGGGCCCTGGCCCTTCAGTTTTGCAGAAAAGGATTCCCACAAAGACGGAAAGTGGTGAAACAGGTTAAGAATTTTTTAAGTGGGAGAAGAGTACAGTCCATGTGGATAGATAGACTAGCCAACGCAGAGAGAGAGGAGAGAGAGTCGCGCCCTTGTGGCAATTTGGATTACTTTTACCAGGCATGTCTTCCGGGTTTTCTTTGGCCAATGATTTTGATTTTCCTGGTTCACAGTCCACAGTTAGGACATCTCAGGATTCTCCATGTGGGCGCACGCATCTCTTAGTCAAGACGGATTCTACTGCAAAGACCTATGGGTAGAGTATCCCTTGATGTCACTCCCCTTTGACCTCTGAGGAGCCCTTCTGTGCATGTGTGGTTGGGAAGGTCTTCTGACTTCGAGAATGAGAAATACGTGGTCTAGTCAGGGTCTGGCTATTTCTCTTTAATTGTCCTGCTCTTCTCATCTTGGAGTTTCGGTTCACAGGGAATGAATGTCTAATTAGTTTACCCTGGTGGGACCCATCTACCTCCTGCCTCAAGAGCAGACATCACTGCCTGGTTACCAACCTTAAAGGGAAAATTGCTTCACTATTAAATATAATGTCAGTTATATGTTTTCTGTATACGCCCTTTTTCATTTTGAGGAAATTCCCTGCTCTTATTTTGCTGAGGGTTTTTTTTCTTTCTCCTTCATGAATGGGTAGTGAATTTTGTTAAATGCTTTTTCTGCATCTATTGAGATAATCATAAGGGTTTTATTCTTTGATGCTAGTATGTGTACATGCTAAGTCACTTCAATCATGTCTGACTCTTTGGGACCCCATGGACTGCAGCCTGCCAGGCTCCTCCTCTGTCCATGGGATTCTCCGGGCAAGAATACTGGAGTTGGGTGCCATGCCCTCCTCCAGGGGATCTTTCCAACCCAGGGATCAAACCCCTGTTTCTTACGTCTCCTGGGAGGCAGGTTCCTTACCACCTGCGCCACCTGGGAAGGCCCCGGTGTTAGTACACTCAACTATGTTGATTGCTTTTCCTGCCACCTTGCAGGCCCCAGACGTCAGCTCTGTGATTTTCTTGTTGGGACTTGCCAAAAGCTCCAGCCAGCATTAGTATTAAAGTACTGAAAGAACTCAAGCAAAAACACCTTTCAGAAATGAAAGCAAAATAAAGACTTTGCTCAGACAAAGGTTGAGGAGAATGTATAGTAGCCAGCTCTCACTATAGCAAGTATTTGGAAAAATTCTTTAGATGGAAGAAAAGTTGGATTTACACACAAAAAGAAGAGTGCTGGAAATGGTAAACGTGAGGATAAATATAACTTTTAACTTTTTTTCATGTTTAGCCTTTTAAACAGAGAAGTGAGTTTTTATAAAGTTAAAAAAACACTTACTGTATGACTCAGCAAAAACTAACCCCGGTAGTCTTCATGAACCTGCCTACAAAAACCTCTGACCGACAGAGTTGACTAACCAACTGATTGATGTCATTGCAACATTGATTGATTTGTAAACATAAAGCAAACTGTATTCTCGGAACGAAATGTAATGAGTCAGGATGTATTATCCTCGTTGTATATTACTGTATTCAGTTGGCCAGAGGTTTTGTCGGTCGTTCCGAGTCGGAACGACCTCGGGTCTTTCTTGAGCCAGCCCACTATTCTGAAGCAGCCTCTCAGCTCTCCCTGGAACATCAGGAGGTCGACCCAACCTGCTGGGCTCACAGCGCCCTCATTATCCCTGCTCCTTGCTCTTAGTAAATGCACTCCATTCCAAATGCTCTGTGTCCGGAATTTTTTTTTCCAACCCGAGCTCAGACTGCCTCAACAGATTCCAAATGCACTTATCAAACTATGCAGTTCAGTAAGGGAATGGCCACCGTACTTTAGAGACGACATCCTCTAACATGTTCAGTTTCAGGCGCTAGTACCAACCCCTTTATCCCCAAGCCACAGAGCTTTACATGAGGAGAGCACTCCCTCCACCGCAGCATAAACCTCTCAGGTTTTGCGTTTCTTCCCTGAAGGCAGGGGATGCATCAGCACAGAAGAGCTATTATTCTTCCTTAAAATATAGATTATACTTTTGTACTTGATCTTTTTAAGATATTTATGATAGAAATTGCATTGAACCTTCTTAGCTCAGTTTCAGATTTTGTCATCTCAAGCAACAGAATTTTAGGGTGGTTTGTTGCGCAACAATAATTTTTATATTATTATTAATATGAGCAGGTAGAGAAGGGAATGGCAACCCACTCCAGTATTCTTGCCTGGAAAAGTCCATGGACAGAGGAGCCTGGCGGGCTGCAGTCTGTGGGGTTACATGACTGAGCATGCATGCAGGAGGGTGGATGGAGAGGGGTTGGTAGCAATAAACTGGGAGAACTAAAATAAGTAATAATAATATGAGGAGGGTAATTACCCTTGGGGAAGCATCCATTTCATTATGGCTGATGACAGAGGAGGGTGTCTTTGTTGTAAATAATAAGACTTTACCGCAGGGTGTGTGTCTCCTTTTATTAATGGCGAGTAGGACCTTCCTTTGAACAGAATCTCTTTTCAAGAATTATTTATTTATTTATGGTTGTGCTGGGTCCTTTCTTTTTTTTTCACATTTTAAAAATTTTATTTTCAATTTTTTTATTCTCTTTTTTATTTTTAATTGGAGGCTAGTTACTTTACAATATTGTAGTGGTTTTTGCCACACACTGACATGAATCAGCCACAGGTGTACATGTGTCCCCCATCCTGAACCCCCCTCCCACCTCCCCCCCATCCCATCCCTCAGGGTCGTCCCAGTGCACCAGCCCTGAGCGCCCTGCCTCATGCATCCAACCTGGACTGGTGATCTGTTTCACATGTGGCAATATACATGTTTCAGTGCTATTCCCTCAAATCATCCCACCCTCGCATTCTCCCACAGAGTCCGAAAGTCTGTTCTTTACATTTGTGTCTTTTACCATCTTTCTAAATCCCATATGTCTGCGTCAGTATGCGGTATTGGTGCTTTTCTTTCTGAATTACTTCGCTCTGTATAATGGGCTCCAGTTTCATCCACCTCATTAGAACCGATTCAAATGCATTCTTTTTGAGTGCTGGGCCCTTGGTGCTGTGCGCGGACTCTCTCCAGCTGTAGAGAGCGGTGATTCCTCTTGTTGCAGAGCTCAGCTCGAGGGTATATGGGTAGCACACGGGCTTAGTTGCCCCATAGCTTGTGGAATCTTCCTGGACCAGGGATTGAACCCATGTCCCCTGAACTGCCAGCTGGATTCTTAACCCCTGGGCCTCCAGGGGGGTCCAACAAAGACTCTTTGACTGGTGGGTTCGTCTGAATTTCCAAGCTAAGCCCCTTTCATCACCTGCTGCTGCTTGGCCCACGACCCCCCGCTCACCCAGGGTGTGATGCCTGGGCATGTTCAGAAAGCAACCACCAGGCCTGGGATTGCATTTCTTGGGTGAAGTCTTGGGTGCTTCCTACGTGGAGCAGGGACTTGCTGACGGAGATGGGGGTCCTGGCTGCCAGCGCTACTCCCATCAAGGAGGCCCAGCAGCAGAGCGGAGAATCTGAGGACGAGCAGAAGACAGGGGCAGAGGAAAGTCGCTGATGAGTGACTGCGGGTAAACGTCCCATGGCATCCTGGGGGTTTTATTCTTCTTGTGACGCTAATGCTAGGTTTTTGCCCAAATCCTTCCATTTCTGAGTATTTAGTGAGATAATTCGGAGAGAAAAGCCACCTCGGGGGGGACGGCCCCCTTTCCCTCTGGCACGGGGGAACGTGAGGGCCGCCTGCAGCCCACCGAGAGGCCAGGCTGGGGGTCCTCCCGCCGCCTCTGCCCCGTGGAGGCTCCAGCCCGTGGTTCCACCCCTCAGGCAGGAAGGCCCAGGCAGGGAGGAGCCAAGTCACAACAGCTGAGGAGACAGATCTGCGGGTCCACTCAGTGTCCGGGCTACAGGCAGGCCTAGGGTTGGCTTCATTCAGACGGGAAGTGCCCCAGAGGGGCTCAGCCCACGGCATTATACATTGTGAGGGCAACAGGGAGCGAGGCGGGGGTCTAGAAGAGTAACGCCCGGATCCAGACAGTGGAGAATGACCACGCGAAACCAGCTTAAGGCAAAGACCGGCCAGGGAGAGCGCAGAAGAGGCGACAGAAAAGGAAGAACTCTTCAGCGCCTGATCTGGGCAGGAGCCTAGCGGAAGTAGTTGGGACAGTCGTGGGCGACCAGGCGCCAGGCCTGATCAAAGGCCTGCACAACAGCCGACCCCAGACACCCTGCCTTGACGGCTGCTAAGTTCTCTTCCAGCTGCTCCAGGCTTGACATGCCCAGGATGACCGCATCCCCGCGGAGGCCCTGCAGGGGGAGATGGCCAGACGTCACACACAGATGCTCCACAGAGACCCCATTACACACACCCCCTCCCAGCCCCGCCCCTGCCAAGACCTGGGCTCAGGCATCTTCTTCACACTCTACCTGGAGAGAGAGTTAATTCTCAGGTAGGTTGATAAGAAGTCCGGAGTCCCCAAGGAGGAGAAAAGGGTCTGGGGCTCTCAAGAAGGAGAAAAGGACAAACTTTTTTTTCTTACATTCCTTAGTTTTAGTTACATAAGACCTTATTAGTTTCTTTAAGCCCAGAGCTAATGATTAACCAAACAACTCATCTTAAACTCTGTACTAAGGCCAAAGAATGCTCAAACTACCACACAACTGCACTCATCTCACATGCTAGTAAAGTAATGCTCAAATTTCTCCATGCCAGGCTTCAGCAATACATGAACCATGAACTTCCAGATGTTCAAGCTGGTTTTAGAAAAGGCAGAGGAACCAGAGATCAAATTGCCAACATCTGCTGGATCATCAAAAAAGCAGAGTTCCAGAAAAACATCTATTTCTTCTTTACTGACGATGCCAAAGCCTTTGACTGTGTGGATCACAATAAACTGTGGAAAATTCTGAAAGAGATGGGAATACCAGACCACTTGACCTGCCTCTTGAGAAATCTGTATGCAGGTCAGGAAACAACAGCTAGAACTGGACATGGAACAACCGACTGTTTCTAAACAGGGAAAGGAGTACATCAAGGCTGTATATTGTCACCCTGTTTATTTAACTTATATGCAGAGTACATCATGAGAAACGCTGGACTGGAAGAAGCACAAGCTGGAATCTGGGAGAAATATCAATAACCTCAGATATGCAGATGACACCACCTTTATGGCAGAAAGTGAAGAGAAACTAAAGAACCTCTTGATGAAAGTGAAAGAGGAGAGTGAAAAAGTTGGCTTAAAGCTCAAGATTCAGAAAACTAAAATCATGGCATCCGGTCCCATCATTTCATGACAAATAGATGGGGAAACAATGGAAACACTGGCCATTTTTTTGGGCTCCAGAATCACTGCAGATGGTGACTGCAGCCATGAAATTAAAAGACGCTTGCTCCTTGGAAAGAAAGTTATGACCAACCTAGACAGCATATTAAAAAGCAGAGACATTAGTTTGCCAACAAAGGTCCATCTAGTCAAGGCTATGGTTTTTCCAATAGTCATGTATGGATGTGAGAGTTGGACTATAATGAAAGCTGAGCGCCAAAGAATTGATGCTTTTGAACTGTGGTGTTGGAGAAGACTCTTGAGAGTCCCTTGGACTGCAAGGAGATCCAACCAGTCCATCCTAAGGAAATCAGTCCTGAATATTCATTGGAAGGACTGATGCTGAAGCTGAAGCTCCAATACTTTGGCCACCTAATGCGAACAACTGACTCACTGGAAAAGACCCTGATGCTGGGAAAGATTGAGGGCAGGAGGAGAAGGGGACGACAGACGATGAGATGGTTGGATGGCATCACCGAGTCAATGGACATGAGTTTGGGTGGACTCTGGGGGTTGATGATGGACAGGGAGGCCTGGCGTGCTGCAGTCCATGGGACCGCAAAGAGACACAACTGAGCGACTGAACTGAACTGAAGGATTATATAACAACAGTGTATCTTGCTGGAGGACATGTTTCTCCTTTTTAACAAGAACTTTCTGACTAATCCTGTTATGTGAAGTGGGAGTGGGTCTGGTAAGACCTTTCAATAGAAGGATTAACATATGTTGTGGGAGTGGGTCTGGTAAAAGTATATAAAGTGAAAGTGAAGTCGCTCAGTCGTGTCCGACTCTTTGTGACCCCATGGACTGTAGCCTACCAGGTTTCTCTGTCCATGGGATTTTCCAGACAAAAATACTGGAGTGGGTTGCCATTTCCTTCTCCAGGAGATCTTCCCAACCCAGGGACTGAACCCAGGTCTCCCGCACTGTGGGCAGACGCTTTACCGTCTGAGCCTCCAGGGAAGCCGTAAGAGTATATAAGGCCTCGATAAAACTAGCGCATGGGGCGCTCTCTGACCCTTTCTGATGTCTGTGTCAGAAGCTTTCTTTGTCCTTTCTCACTGTAATAAACTTGTGCCACACGAAAGCTGTGAGTGATCAAGCCTGGTCCTTGGTCCCTAAGCTGAATCTTCTTCGGAGGTCAAGAAGCCGGCATCGTTCACTGTAAGCGATCGATAGTTGTACAGAGCACGTATGGTGCGTTCAGCAGCCGTAACTGCGCGACCCCGAAGCCCGTCTTCTTTGCCCTGCTGCCACGATGTTCGTGCTCGTTCAGACCTCAGTTCAGAGCCCGGGTCTGCCACCCAGGACCCGTGCAAACCTGACTTAGCTGTGCAAGCCCAGGGACTCAGATCTCAGTTTTCACTGTGCTTGTGGGAATGAGAAATTATTCAAAGCACCTAACTCCCACTTAATGCAAACCTGCTGTATGCGTGCCACAGACTGTGCAACTGTGAATGGCTGAGGCTGGAGAAAAGTTTCAGCCAGAAGACAGGACACCAAAGAGAGAAGGAAACCCCACTCCCCCCAGAGGAGCAGGACCAGCGGGTTTTATATCAAGTCCGTGACTACAACTTTCTCTCCCGTTCATAGCTGTTTGCTCATCAGTAAAACTGGAATAATCCCACCTCATCAGGCCTAAGTAATCATTCAATCCGTGCTTCTAAAGCCCTCATGACAGAGCCTGGAATTTGGGCAGCTACCCAGAACAACAGGAAGGCTGCTGTGAGAGCCAGACCAGAGGGGGATTTCAGAGGGAAAAACTGTTTAGAAATCATGCTGGCTCCTCAAAAAGAGCAAGAGCGGGGCTTCCAGAGATGGGGCTTACCTGGAGCTGGGAGTGGTGGTACAACCACCGCAGGGCAGCTGAGGCCAGGCTGGGGGCCTTGATGTTGTACATATCCCTCTGGGTCTGCAGGGCCTTCTCCACCAGGGCGATGCCCTCGAAATGGTGCTCCTTCCAGTAGCTGGACAGGTGGGGAGGGTAGCACGGGGTCAGGACCACGGGGTCATACGGGGGGCCACTGCCTAAGAGTCAACCGGGCAGCTGCACCCACCCCAAGCCTGCAGTATCGAGGGGCTGGTGTCCCCTCAAGCAGGAGGTCTCCTGCTTTGGGGGGCAGTGGAACCACGCAGGACGCTGGCTCCCTCACCAGAGACCTCATGATGTCTACTCCCAAGAACTCAAACTCTGCCCTTACTTTACCTGGAGAAACAGGCAGCCAGTTCAGGGGCACACATTGACCCCAGGCCGCCTGCTCCTCATCTGGGGCCGTCTTTCCCTCTTGGAGGGTGATCACCACTTCTCAGGGATGAACCATGCCTTGGAAGGTTGAGCATGAGGTCCAGGGAGCCTCATTCCTCTCAGGGGTTCCAAGAATACAAGAAGAAACCCTCCAGAGGGTTTCCTAATTCCTCCAGGATTCAAGAGAGCTAGGTCCAGGCAGCAAGGAAAAGCCTGCAGGCCCTAGGAAAGCAGCCTAGTGTCTCCATTTCAGACTATGGGGACCCCCTCCCACCCCACACGTCCTGACACCGTCCGCCCGCAGCTCACCGATCCCTGTAGACCTTTGCCCAGCTGTTCCCAAAGAAGCGGCCCTCGGGCTGTTTCCCGTCCTTGTCCTCATACTTGTACCTGCCGGTCAGCAGGCCTCCTGCGGGAAGGCTGCAGTCAGACCCCCAGCCACCGCCCCCAGACGCCATCTGGACCGGAAGTGGGGGTGATAGCAGGGGAACCAGGAGGGATGGAGGTCCTAGCAAACCCCTCCCCTTCCCAGGTCTGGGGCCAGGCTTCTCCCGGGTCAGGAAGGGGCAGAAACGGGGTCGGGAAGGCCCTCCCGCCCAGGGGAGCCTGTGCCCACAGCAGTCCCACAGCCCGTACCAGCCAGAGGGTTGTAGGCGTAGAACCTCAGTCCAAAGCGCCGGAGGCAGGGCAGGAGCTCCGTCTCCACCTGCCGGGTGGTGGCGTTGTACATGCCCTGCAGGCGGAAGGGCCAGCTGAGCGGGGGCCGGCCAGGGGGCCCCATCCTGCTCTCAAAGTCTTCGGTCAAGACCCCCCAGGACTCCAGCATGGTTTCCAAAGTCACTACTTTGGACGGGGAGATGGTGCTGGGCCCCAGGAAGGGAAGGCGGCCTGGCTCTGCCATCCCACACACATCTGCAGGCACCAACCGCACGCGGGCTGGAGCCTGAGCTCTCAAACACGTGGATCTGGTGAGGCCTCTGCTTCAAGAGATGTCAGAGTCGAGTTAAAGCAGAGTGGGCTCTCCTGATGGTTCCGTGGTTAAGACTCCACCTCGCAAAGCAAGAGACACGAGTCTGATCCCTGGTAGGGCAACTAAGCCTGAGAGCCGCAACTAGAGAGTCCGTGGGCCGCCATGAAAGACCCGGCATGATGCAGCTAAGATCTGAGGCAGCCACATAAACAAACAACAAAAAAAGAAAAGACAGGACAGGTGATCACAGAAAGGTGGCTTCTGTGATCACGGCGGATTCTCAGAAATACTCGCTCAATGCATAAAGATGGGGTCTGGAGACTGGAGGACCCACTGGGCTGTCGGGAAAGGCTTCCAGAGGAAAGGTATCTAAGTGACGTCCAGGCACTCCTTCCAGGGAGAAGGGGGAGGCAAGTCCGGGCTGACCACAGAGCCAGAAGCAGGCGGGAAGGGGGGCTAGGGCCTGAGAGGGCGGGCGCCCGTGGCCAGGCTGAGGGCCCCCAGGGGCCCGTCTACAGGCTGGGAGCAGGGGAGTGGCTGCTCTGGAGCGGGCAGGTGGGGGCAGGGGATGGCCCAAGAGGAGCTGGGACCGCAGGCGCCCTGGAGACGGGCATCTGCAGCCCTGGCCTCACCTGGTACACGGTGGGCTGGATCCAGCCGTTGCTCCTGCACAGGGTACAGATCTCGGCCACCTCCCAGGCGGCATAGTTGGAGAGGCCGAGCTCCACGAACTTGCCCTGCGGGGGAGAGGCCACGGTCAGATCCCTCCACAGCCCAGAATGCCAGTCCCAGAGATTGGGACCCTGGGGGTGAGGTCCGGCCCCGGCTCTGCTCCGGGACCGCCCTGGAGCCTCTGCTCTCTGGGCACTGACAGGCCAGGGCGGGGAGTGGGGGGCGGGGGGCCGCCCTCACCTCCTGGTGCAGCTGGTGGCAGCCGCGCAGCGTCTCTTCCACGGGGATGCCGTGGTCTGGCATGTGCAGGTAAAACAGGTCCACTCGGGGACACTGCATCCGCTTGAGGGACGTCTCCAACTGGAACCGGAGGCTGTTAGGCGTCAGTGAGTTTTCTCCCAATGGATTAGCCTTGGTAGCAATTTTTACTTTGGGAGGAGAAAAATAGAAGTTCAGGTCAACTTACCAAACATTGGAGAGATCTAGGGTTAATAGTTAAGAGGCAGGCCTGGGTTCGCACCTCAGCTCTGCCAATACCAGCTCTATGACCTTGACCAAGTTATTCAACCTCTCTCAGCCCCATGCCAGAAAATCTCAGGGACAGAGAAGCCTGGCAGGCTACAGTCCATGGGATCACAAAGAGTCGGACATGACTGAGGACGCACATGGGTGTGTGCGCACACACCACACAAACACACACAGAATCTCAATTTTCTCAATTGTAAATTGAGAGTGTCAATGGAACTATCTAGTTGGGAGGCCGTGAGGATTGGTCAGAACGTTGACACACTTGCTTATTATGAGCGTCTGATGTTATCACCACCGTGACTATTTAGCAGACAGCTAGGGATGCCACGCCTGGCACTCGGGCTGCAAGAGGAGTGCCAACCCTGGATGTCTGCCCTCAAGGACCCACAGTCTAAGGGGGCACCACAGAGTAAGTGAGGTGCGGACACACAGCAGCAGGGGAGAGGAGCCCCGAGAATTCAGGGAAGGCTTTCGAAGGCTTTGCATCTCCAAAAGCCTCCCTGGGGCAAGAACATGGCTTTGAGGAGTCATGCCTGCGATCCCACGGACCTAAAACACCAGGTGTAGGGGTACACAAGACAAGAGAAGGGGCCCCAGACCAGAGTGACGCAAAGGGCCCTGAGGGCACCGCTTAGAATCTGACTTCAGGGGACCACAGGGCGACTCTGAGCACTTCCAGCCAGCAAGCTAAGGGGTCGACTTTGCAGTTTTGAAAGATGAGTCCGAAAGAAGCACAAAGAACCTCGGGCCCAGGTCTGGAAACAGGGAAAATGGCAAGGAGACTGTGGCAGGAATTCCGGAAAGAGGAGCGAGAGGCCTCAACTGGGGCCCCAGGGAAGGAAAGGCAGAGAAACGTCCCACTGAGAAAAGGCCAGTGTGGTCAGGAAGGAGTTAGATACCTTTCCCCCTGTTTGCGGTAAGAATCAGGTGAGCAAAGCAACGGCTGAGGAGCAAGCCCTTTCTGCACTGTTCACTCTTGGACAGTCACCGCAGCAGGCCAGGCCCCCTGAGGACGGAGAGGCCGGGCTGGAGGCCTGCTCATTTGGAACTTTCCGTTCCACCACCTCCTCCCCTTCGGCCCACACCGCTTCTTGACATTAACTTCAGATCTGAGATTTAAGAACTGCAGCCCAGCCGGTTCCAGCCCAAAGGAGGGAGGAGGAGGCGCTGCAGAAGAAAAGGAACCAGAAATAAGAGCAGTGTGAGTGCCTGTGGACAGACGAGTGGATAGACAAGATGTGGTGCCCATACAACGCGACAGTCCTCAGCCATCAGAGAAGGACGGAATGGTGCCATTTACAATGACACAGAAGGACCCAGAAAGGATCACAGTAAGTGAAGTAAGTTAGACAAAGACAAATGTGATACCGCTTACATGTGAAATCTAAAAAAAAATTATACAAATGAATATATTTACAGAGCAGAAATAGACCTGCGGACAGAAGACAAACTGACGGCTACCACACAAGGAGGGGGTGATAAATTAGGAGTCTGGGAGTAACATACGCACTAATATAGAGAAAATGGGGATTCCCAGGTGGCTTAGTGGTAGAGTCCACCTGCCAATGCAGGAGACGCAGGGGACACGGGTTCAATCCCTGGATCAGGAAGATCCCCTGGGAAAGGAAATGGCAACCCGCTCCAGTATTCTCGCCAGGAAGATCCCAGGGGCAGAGGAGCCTGGCAGGCTACACTCCGGGGGTCACAAAGAGTTGGACACAATTTAGTGATTGGGCAAGCAATATTTATAAAATAGGCAATAAGGACCTACTGTAAAGCAAAGGAACTATACTCAATATCTTATAATAATCTATGATGGAAAAGAATCTGAAATATATAGAGAGATATATATAAGTGAATCCCTTTGCTATACACCTGAAATTACCACAACACTGTAAAGCAACTATACTTCAATTAAAATTTTAAAAAATAATAAGACCAGAGTGATCATGGCGAGGCAGCCAGGTGGCCTAGAAAGAGTGCGGCTCTGAGACGCGTGCATGTTCTCATCTTGTTCCAGATTGACCATGCCGTGACCCATTTCTCCCTGAGACACCCCGGAGTGAAAGACGGCACAGGGTGCCAACAGCATCTACTGTTATTACAACCACACAGCTACTAACGGATCAGCCAGCGTTGCAGAGCCGCCACTGTGCCCGCCCGGCACATTATTAGCACTTCGGATGGCATCAGACAGGTGGGGGACCTTCCCCTGGGCCCACACACCTCTGCTCGGCTCCAGTGCGGCTCCAACACCCTCAGCACTGCCAAAGCTCACTGCCTTTGCACATGCGCTGCCCACACCCACTGCCAGGAATGCCCTTTCTCCTCTGCTGGAAAAGTATCAGTTCAAGGTCTGACGTTCCCTTTTCTGAGCGTTCTTCTTTGGCCCTTTCTGGGAAAGGGTCCCTCTTCTGGGCTCCCCAGCTGTCTCTAGAATCTGAGCTCCCTGGGTTGGGTGACTGTCAATTCCTCTTCTATGGCTTCGGACAGAGGCTGGCACAGATGGGGCAGTTAGATAGGGCACCTCCCCACACCCATATCCCAGCTACTGCTGGTAGCTCCTGCTGCTCCCAGGCACGCCCACCCTGGTGAAGTGGAAAAGTGAAACTGTTAGCCACTCACTCCTGTCCCACTCTTTTGTCACCTGGCGGACGGTAGCCTGCCAGGCTTCTCTGCCCGTGGGGATTCTCCAGGTAAGAACACTGGAGTGGGTCACCATGCCCTTCTCCAGGGAATCTTCCCGACCCAGGGATTGAACTCAGGTCTTTGGCATTGCAGGCAAATTCTTTACAGTCTGGGGCACCAGGGAAGCCCTGGTGAAGTGGGAGGCACTGCGGACTGAGCGCCCAGGGCTCCAGGGAGGAGTACAGGGCTCAGAGCAATGAGGTAGCCGGTCCCTGCCGGTTCCAAAGACCGATCTGCAAGAGTGCGAGGGAGTGCCAGGGATTGCCAGGGCGATAAGGGCAGGACTCCTGTAGATCCGGACCGCACCGGGCACCTGCGGAGGAGGGGGAAGGGGGCAAGCCCAGCGCCAGATTCCGTTTTCAGGGCCCCCTGAGACGGGTTAGCCAAGTCGTTCCAGGCTCGGCCACGGTCGGGACTTTACTGGGAGAGAGGGAAAAGGAGAGGAAAAGAGTCAAGACCAAATACTGTCCAGCTGTCCGGGCTGATGTGCAAGAGCGCTGGGAAGCGGGGGTTTCACAGAGCTGCGGGGGGGCCAGCGGAGGTGGGCGTCCCAGCAAGGTGGACAAGGCGGTCGGTCCCGGCCGCGGCCAGTGCATGGTTCGGGGGCGGTCACAGGGCCGAGGTCCGGGGCGCCAGGCGTTACCTTTGCAGTCGCTGCCGCCCAGTCCGAGCCCCAGACCGCCCAGGATGCTCTCTGACTGGCCGTCGGCGTACACGAAAGCCGTGTCGATCTCGGTGTGGCCGTGCTCCAGGAAGGTGCGCACGGCCGCGGCGCTGCTGGGCACGTCCATGCGGCGCCCCATTTCCATGGCGCCCAAGACGGTGGCGGGCCGGGTTGGGACACCCCGTGGGTATGAATAGGCCATGGCGGCGGGTTGCGTTACACGACCGTCTCGAAGCCGAGCGCACCTGGGGGCAACGCGGTGAGGGCGGGCGCTTTAAGGAGAGGTAGGCCCCGCCCATCTGACAGGGGGCGGAGCGGTAGGGGGCGGGGCGACGTGAGCATGTTGGCCCCGCCCCCCACACGTGCCCCTTACCGAGGACCCCTCGGCAGGGGCCTTTCCTGAGGGTTGAAGAGCCTAAATAATGTGACAGACTTTATTTTGGGGGGCTCTGAAATCACTGCAGATGGTGACTGCAGCCATGAAATTAAAAGACACTTGCTCCTTGGAAGAAAAGCTATGACCACTGTGTGGATCACAATAAACTGTGGAAAATTCTGAAAGAGATGGGAATACCAGACCACTTGACCTGCCTCTTGAGAAATCTGTATGCAGGTCAGGAAACAACAGCTAGAACTGGACATGGAACAACCGACTGTTTCTAAACAGGGAAAGGAGTACATCAAGGCTGTATATTGTCACCCTGTTTATTTAACTTATATGCAGAGTACATCATGAGAAACGCTGGACTGGAAGAAGCACAAGCTGGAATCTGGGAGAAATATCAATAACCTCAGATATGCAGATGACACCACCTTTATGGCAGAAAGTGAAGAGAAACTAAAGAACCTCTTGATGAAAGTGAAAGAGGAGAGTGAAAAAGTTGGCTTAAAGCTCAAGATTCAGAAAACTAAAATCATGGCATCCGGTCCCATCATTTCATGACAAATAGATGGGGAAACAATGGAAACACTGGCCATTTTTTTGGGCTCCAGAATCACTGCAGATGGTGACTGCAGCCATGAAATTAAAAGACACTTGCTCCTTGGAAGAAAAGCTATGACCAACCTAGACAGCATGTTAAAAAGCAGAGACATTACTTTGCCAACAAAGGTTCATCTAGTCAAGGCTATGGTTTTTCCAGTAGTCATGTATGGATGTGAGTTGGACTATAAAGAAAGCTGAGGGCCGAAGAATTGATGATTTTGAACTGTGGTGTTGGAGAAGACTCTTGAGAGTCCCTTGGACTGCAAGGAGATCCAACCAGTCCATCCTAAAGGAGACCAGTCCTGGGTATTCATTGGAAGGACTGATGCTGAAGCTGAAACTGCAATACTTTGACCACCTGATACGTAGAACTGACTCACTGGAAAAGACCCTGATGCTGGGAAAGATGGAGGGTGGGAGGGGAAGGGGACAAGGTGACAGAGGTGAGATGGTTGGATGGCATCACCGAGTCAATGGACATGAGTTTGAGCAAGCTCCGGGAGTTGGTGATGGACAGCGAGACCTGGCGTGCTGCAGTCACGAGATTGCAAAGAGTCGGACACGACTGAGCAACTGAACTGAACTGAAGATCCTAAAATGTGGTCTTGGCTCAGGGGTGGTGCCTTGTGGCTGTCCCACCATCTTGCAGGCCCCAGAGGTTGGCTCTGTGCTTCTCTTGTTGGGACTTGCCAAAGGCTCCAGCCAGCGTTCAAACGAAAAGAATTCAAACGAAAACACCTTTCAAAAATGAAAGCAAAGACTTTGTTCAGACAAAGGTTAGGGAGAATTCATAATAGCCAGCTTTCACTATGGGCTTCCCTTGTGGCTCAGCTGGTAAAGAATCCATCTGCAATGTGGGAGACCTGGGTTTGATCCCTGGGTTTGGAAGATCCCCTGGAGAAGGGAAAGGCTACCAACTCCAGTATTCTGATCTGGAGAATCTCATGGACTGTATAATTTATGGAGTCACAAAAAAGTCAGACACAACTGAGCAACTTTCACTTCACTTCACTTCTTCACTATAGCAAATATTGGGAGAAATACTTTAGATGGAAGAAAAGCTGGATTTATGCACACACAAAATCAAGAGTGCTGGAAATGGCAAATACAAGGATAAATATAATCTTTAACCTTTTTTCATGTTTAACTTTTTAAACAGCTGAGTTTTTATAAAGTTAAAATACACTTACTGTATGACTCAGCAAAAACTACACCCTATTAGTCTTCGTGAACCTACCTTCAAAAACCTTTGACCAATTGAGTGCAGTGATATATAACAAGAATAATACATCATGACACATTGAATTTCACTTAGGCATAGAGTTGGCCTTAAACTGGCAAATCAATCAATGGAGTTAATGTTAGTCAACTACATTGGTCAAAGGTTTTTGTAGGTAGGTTCATCAAGATTACCAGGCTGTAGTTTTTGCAGAGTCATATAGTAAGTCTTGGCTTCCCTGGTGGCTCAGTGGTAAAGAACCCTCCTGCCAATGTAGGAGATATAAGAGATGTGAGTTTGATCCCTGGGTCAGGAAGATCCCCTGGAGGAGGGCATGGCAACCCACTCCAGCATTCTTGCCTGGAGAATCCCATGGACAGAGGAACCTGGTGGGCTACAGTCCATAGGGTCGAAAAGAGTTGGACACGACTCAAGTGACTGAGCACACACACACATAGTAAGTCTATTTTTCAGTTTATTAAAGCTCAGGACCGACAGCTTTGTCCCCTTCCCAGGGTGCCAACTCCTCTGGCCACCCCACAGCTCTGTGAATCCCAGCGCCCTTGCACATTAGCCCATGTAGCTGGACAGTACTTTGTCTTGACCCTTTTCCTCTCCTTTTCCTTCCTCTCAGCAGCCCTCACCTAGCCTGGGACAAGTTGGCTAGCCCCTCTTAGGGGGCTGAAAACGGAATCTGGTGCTGGGCAGCCCCCGCCCCCTTCCCCACCCCTGCAGGTGCCTGGTGCAGTCCCAATCTGCAGGAGTCCTGCCCTTATCACCCTGGCACTCCCTGGTACCATTGTAGATCGGTCTTTGGAACCGGTGAGGACCGGCTTCCTCATTGCTCTGAGCCCTGGACTCCTCCCTGGAGCCCCAGGCGCGTGGTTCAGTCCGAGGTGCCTCCCACTTCACCAGGGTGGGTGCGCCTGGGAGCCGCTGGAGCTACCAGCAGTAGCTGGGATGGGGAAGTGGGGGAGGCACCCTGTCTAACTGCCTGCTCTGTACCAGCCTCTGTCCAAGGCCGTAGAAGGGGAACTGACACTCACCCACTCAGGGAGCTCAGCGTCTAGAGACAGCTGGGGAGCCCAGAAAAGAGACCGCTTCTTGGGACAAGCCAAAGAAGAACGCTCAGAAAAGGGCGCATCAGACCTTGAACTGACCGTTTTCCCGGAGAAAGAGGAGAAAGGGCATTCCCGGTTGTGGGCGTGGGCAGTGAGTGGGCAAAGGCAATGGGATTTAGCAGCACTGAGGGTGTTGGAGCAGGCAGCTGTGGCCAAGCGGAGGTTTGATGTGTGAGGGCAGGGGACACCCCCATCAGTCTGATGCCGTCTCAGTGCGTGTGGCCTGTGCTGGCAGGCACACAGTGTGGGCTCGGCAACATTAGCTGTTACTGTTAATACTGGCATCGTCGTTGGCACCCTGTGCCGTCTTTCACTCCGGGGTGTCTCAGGGAGAAATGGGTCACGGCATGGTAGATCTGGAGCAAGACGAGAACATGCATGCGTCTCAGAGCCACACTCTTTCTAGGCCACTTGGCTGCCTCACGGTGACAACTCTGGTCTTATTGGGTTTTTTTATTTTAATTTTTTGAAGTATAGTTGATTTACAATGTGGTGTTAGTTTCAGGTGTAACCAAAGTGATTTTGTTACATATTTCAGATTATTTTGCATTATAGGTTATTACAAGATATTGGATATAGTTCCCTGTGCTATACAGTAGGTGCTTGTTGGTTATCTGTTTTATATGTGTATATATGTATATTAATGTATATGTTAATCCCAAACTCCTGATTTATGCCCCCCTTCCCCCTTTGGTTTCCCTGGTGGCTCAGAGGTTAAAGCGTCTGCCTGCAATGCAGGAGACCTGGGTTCAATCCCTGGGTCAGGAAGATCACCTGGAGAAGGGGATGGCAACCCGTTCCAGTATTCTTGCCTGGAGAATCCCATGGACAGAGGAGCCTGGCAGGCTGCCGTCCACGGGGTCACAGAGTCAGACACGACTGAGCAACTAACACACACACACACACACACACACACACACACACACTATATTTGTCTTTCTCTGTCTGACTTACTTCATTCAGTATGAAAATCGGTCCATCGTGTTGCTGTGAATAGCATTATTTCATTCTTTTTGATGGCTGAGTAATATTGCACTGTATATGTATACCACATCTTCTTTATGCATTCATCTGTTGGGCATTTACTTTGGTCTTATTTCTAATTGCTTTTTCTTCTCCAACTCCTCCTTCTCGTCCCTCCTTCAGGCTGGAACTAGCTGGGCCAAAGTTCTTAACTCTCAGATCTGAAGTTAACATCAGGAAAGGGTGGGGGCCGTGGTGGAGGAATGGGAGATCCCAAATGAGCAGCCCTCCAACACTTTGCAGATGGCTCCGTGGTAAAGACCTGGGTTCCGTCGGCTGCAGTCCGTGGGGTCAGGAAGAGCTGGACACGGCCGAGCCACTAACACCTTGACTTTCAATAACCAAGTGTGTCAAAGTTCTGATCAGTCCTCTGAGACTCCCAACTAGATCGTACCATTGTGGTTCTCAATTTACACTTGAGCAGACTGAGGCTGTCTGTGTGTGTACCCGTGTGTGTGTGTGTGTGTGTGTGCGCGCACGCGTGCTTGGTTCTGTCCAACTCTTTGTGAACCCATGGACTATAGCCTGCCAGGCTTCTCTGTTCAAGGAATTTTCCAGACACGATTACTGGAGTGGGGCTTGAAGAAGTTAAATAAAGTGATGAAGGTCACAGAGCATGTCCTCTAACTCGACTCTGACATCTCTTGAAGCAGAGGCCTCACCAGATCCACGTGTTTGAGAGCTCAGGCTCCAGCCCCCGTTGGTGCCTGCAGATGTGTGTGGGATGGCAGAGCCAGGCCGCCTTCCCTTCCTGGGGCCCAGCACCATCTCCCCGTCCAAAGTAGTGACTTTGAAACCATGCTGGAGTCCTGAGGGGTCTTGACCGAAGACTTTGAGAGCAGGATGGGGCCCCCTGGCCGGCCCCCGCTCAGCTGGCCCTTCCGCCTGCCGGGCATGTACAATACCACCACCTGGCAGGTGGAGACGGAGCTCCTGCCCTGCCTCCGGCGCTTTGGACTGAGGTTCTACGCCTACAACCCTCTGGCTGGTACGGGCTGTGGGGCTGCTGTGGGCACAGGCTCCCCTGGGCGGGAGGGCCTTCCCGACCCCGTTTCTGCCCCTTCCTGACCTGGGAGAAACCTGGCCCCAGACCTGGGAAGGGGAGGGGTTTGCCAGGACCTCCATCCCTCCTGGTTCCCCATTACCCCCACTTCTGGTCCAGATGGCCTCTGGGGGCGGTGGCTGGGGGTCTGACTGCAGCCTTCCCGCAGGAGGCCTGCTGACCGGCAGGTACAAGCATGAGGACAAGGACGGGAAACAGCCCGAGGGCCGCTTCTTTGGGAACAGCTGGGCAGAGGTCTACAGGAATCGGTGAGCTGTGGGCGGACAGTGTCAGGACGTGTGGGGTGGGAGGGGGTCCCCATAGTCTGAAAATGGGGAGTCCCTGGGGATGCTTTTTTGGGTTCCAGAGCCTCCCCTTTTGCTCAGACCTTGGCCCCTCAAGCTCAGCTTTACTGAGAACCCAGCTGGCACCGGTCAGGTTTCCCCAGTGTCTCTGGGAGTGACTGGGGACCTGGATTGGGAGTGTGTGGTGCTCTGGTCCTTCTGCTGGGTCTGCAAGACTGTGTCTCCTCCTTCGAAGAGCCTCCCCCTTGCCCACGGCGGCAGGAGAAACCTTGCATTGGGACTGGGGAATCCTGAAGCTTGCTGCTGGCCCTGTCACCTGGGGCAACTGAGTCTTAAGTTTTGTAAATTCTTGGCAATAAAATTGTCATCAATGTCTAAAGTTATAGTTGAACATCTGTTGGGACCAGCCCTTTTTCCTTTTTCCCTTTCATTTTTTTAAAGTTTGAAAAAGTTATCGATGTAATACATGCCTGCAGCTAAAAGCAAGCCCTTTCCAAGTCACATTCCTTAGAGGTGATGCTTTTAAACTCTTTCAGCTTGCTCTCCCTCTGGTGTTGACTGTAAGACCTCTGACGTATATACTTTATTGCTATTCCTTAACGTATCAATTTAGACATTATCTGTGGACTGCTGGGAAGCTCCTCATCTTTCAAGATTTATAGAAGCTGTCTCCAAAGCTTCAGTGCTAATTTCGTTGAAATGTCCCAGGACTTTTCAAGCAGCACAGTGTCTCATATTTGTAACTGCCTGTGTGTGCAGTGGTGTGATTTAAACCTTAATCCAGGCGCCCACCGCTCCAGGGTTTCTGACTATCTGACTAGGTTTAGAAGCCATTTCCTTAAGCAGTGTATCAAGGAGCTTGTCACACCACCAGTGCCTGGGCCTCTCTCCTGGAGGATATTTTTTGTAAAAAATAATTTATTCACTTATTGTTTTGGGCTGTCTTGGGTCTTAGTTGCTGGTGTGGGCTTTCTCTAGTTGTGGAGAGCCGGGGCTACGCTTTATTGCAGTGAGCAGGCTTACTGTGGTGGGTTCTCCCATCGTGGAGCGCAGGCTCCAGGGCACGGGGGCTTCAGGAGCCATGGCCCCAGGGCTCAACAGTTGAGGCTCCTGGGCTTTAATTGCCCTGGGGCATGTGGAATCTTCCCAAACCAGGGTTTGAACCGGTGTCCCCTGCAGTGGCAGACAAATTTTTACTCACTGTACCTCCAGGAAAGTCACCCCTGTAGGATCTTGTGCGGTGCTTAGTCGCTCAGTTGTGTCCAACTCTTTGCACCCCCATGGACTGCAACCTGCCAGGCACCTCTGTCCATGGGGATTCTCCAGGCAAGAATACTGGAGTGGGCTGCCATGCCCTCCTGCAGGGGATCTTCCCAACCCAGCAATCGAACCCAGGTCGCCCTTGTTGCAGGCAGATTCTTGATCATCTAAGCCCCAGGGAGGCCCAGGATCTTGGCTGATGGTTTTTACCTTCTCTGCTCTATTTAGTTGAGAAAGCATGGCAGGTCCATCATCTCCTTTATGCTTTGCGCTCACCGTGTGGGGCTGGCTTGGGCTGTCTTCTCACTTAGCAGGTAATTGAAGGCAGGTGGCTGACCCAAGGAGCTGGGTCTGGAACCAGGACTTGTCCTGTCTGTGATCTGGGGCCCACAGACGTGGTCCTGACATTGGGGGTTGTCTTGTTTGCATCTGGTGAGCATGTGCCATGCAAGGATTCTTGCCCACTGTATCCGCGCTGGCCCCAGCGCTGGGCAGGGACTGCCGCGATGAGGAACCCGGAAATCCACATGCATTCTGCTGCTCAGGGAGCTAAAGCCTCCACTTGAGAAGAGTGACGCCCTGCGGGAAACCCCCGCTTCCGACCCCTGCCACCCTCCCTACCTGCCCAGCTACTAGGAGCACCACTTCCGGGCTGCTGCCTTGGTGGGGAAGGCCCTGCAGGCTGCACAGGTGCCAGAACCCCCGGCATGACCTCGGTCGCCCTCTGCCGGATGTACCACCACTCTCAGCTCCGGGTAGGAAGGAGGAAGTGGGAGGGAGGGCTGTATGATTTCATTTTTAGTTTTTTAAAGTTTTGCCGAATGGTGGCTCAGATGATAAAAGAATCTGCCTGTAATGTGGGAGACCCGGGTTCAGTCCCTGGGTTGGGAAGATCCCCTGGAGAAGGAAATGGCAACCCACTCCAGTATTCTTGCCTGAAGTCAGACACAACTGAGTGACTGAGATAGAGGAGCTGTGTGACATTGACATGTGTTTTCCTCCATTAGCCTTGGTCTGTCTCTGGCTGCCCTCTCTGCAATCTGTCCTATTCCCACCATTCCACTTTTCCAATACCTTCCTCCAAAAGGGGTATCACATATACCTCTTTCTTGAGCCCCTAAGTGCCAGGCCTTAAGTAAAGTACAAAATTTTAATCCCCACAATCACCCTGCAAAGGAAGCTGAAGCTTAGTGAGGTCATGTAAATAACTCAGGCCTGCCCAGCTGCAGAGCAGGAGGGGAGAGGCTCTGAGCTCAGGCCTGCCTCTGTGAGTCTAGGGAGGCAGGGCTTTGGAGCTGTCTGGGATAATGCAGGGTACGGACATTGGGGGCTTCCTGGCGGCTCAGTGGTAAACAATCTGCCTGCCAATGCAGGAAATGCAAGACACTCGGGTTCAATCCCAGAGTTGGGAAGACACCCTGGAGGAAATGGCAACCCACTCTCAGTATTTTTGCCTGAAAAATTCCATGGACAGAGGAGCCTGGTGGGCTACAGTCCATGGGATCAGAGTCAGACATGGCCAAGGGACTGCACACACAGATATCGGACCCCAGGTCTTGGCAGGGGTGGGGGTGGGAGGGGGTGTGTGTGACGTCTGGTCGTCTCCCCCTGTGGGGCCTCTGCGGGGATGCGGTCATCCTGGACACGTCCAGCCTGAGCAGCTGGAAAAGAACTTGCCGGCCATCGAGGAAGGGCCCCTGGAGCCGGCCGTCGTGGGGACCTTTGATCAGGCCTGGCGCCTGGTCGCCCATGATTGTCCCAACTACTTCCACTATGCCTAGTCTGGGGTGGCAGAGGGCACACTCCACCTGTCTCCTCCTCTTTTCTCTTGCACAGTCGATTTTGACCTCAGGCTGCTCTGCGTGGCTGGTTCTTCCCTCACAGTCCTGTCCACAGACGTTTATCTCCCAAGTTCCTGTGAACACCCTCGCAGCCTCCACCGCAGGAAAAGGCCGGGGCTGCAGCGTGTTTACCGTCTGAATCAAGGAGCACCAGCCGGGCGGGAGCCCAGGCCCACGGTGAACGTCTCCTCTGCAGCCGCGGGCTGTTTCCCGCCCCCACAGGCTCGGGGAGAAGGGGCAGGAGTAGGGATCAGGCTTTGAAGGGCAGAGGCGGCAGGAGGGCCTCCAAGCCTCACCTCTCAACAGCAGGGCTGCAGGCGGCCCTCACGCTTCTACACACGGCAGAACGGGGGGCCGCGCACCCCGAGGTAGATGTCCTCTCGTGTAGAATCACCTCACTAAATACGTATAAACAGAACCATCTGGGCAAAAACCCACCGCCCAGAATAAAACTGCTGGGGGACATCCCTCACACTTGCTCAGTTTCAGCGGCGGCTTTATTCTGGCCTTAGCCAAGCCTCCTGTCTTCAGGTCGTCCCCAAGATTCCTGGCCTGGGTGTGGGAGGAGGGGTGGGGAGAGAGAACACAGCTGGGGCAGGAGCGGGCGGGCGAGGTGCCTGTTCCCCTCAGCAAGTCCAGCTTCCAGCCAGGGCCGCTGAGGCCGGAGAGAAGGCGGTTCCTCCCAGGCCCCCGGAGCCGCCCGGCCACGTGGCCAGGCAGGAGCCAGTCCTGGAAACTGGCTTGAGGTGAATGACCAGACTCCTGGGAGTCCAACCCAAAGCCCAAACCCACAGCGTCTTTAGCTGTTTTTCCCAAGAAAAGTCCCTTTTGCAGAAGACAGCCTGAATGACACAGTCTCATTATTTATAGAAAAACAGTCTGTCCTTGCCCCCGCTGCTCATGCTCATCCACAGCAGACGCACGGCCGCTCTCGAGGAGGGCGGTGGCAGTGCCTCGTGTCTGTCCTGGCGAGACCCGGGGCCCCGGCCCCTCAGCTGTCGTCGTCCTCCTCTTCCGACTCTCCTTCTGACTCGGGCGCGCTCTCGGGCAAGTCATCTCCCATCTGCTGGAACCTTCCGGACTGCGCGTCCCACATGTATTTAACGCTCACCTTGAATTCAGCCATCTCATACCCGAAAAGCTTCTGCGAGGGACAGAGGGAACAACGGTCAGCACAGGCGAGTGCAGTCAGAGGCGGCCGCCGGGTGGGTGGTGGGAACGCGGGCCTGCTCTGCGGTCAGCACGTCGCCCTCTCTGCACACCTCGTAGTCGGACAGCAGGGTCACCACACCTGCAGAGAGGGGGCCCCGGGCAGTTACCCCAGCACGGAGGCCTGGGCGGCCCTCAGCGCGCGGCCAGCTGCCTGGGGGCGTTCTGATGGCGGGGGTGGGGGGCACCGACCCCTCCTTCCTTATCCCTTAACTGCCGTATCCTAGCTGCAAGTCACTGTCCACGTTCACCCCGACCGCAAGGCGGGCACGCCTGGTCCCATTTTCATACAACGAAACACAGGTTGATAGAAATAACTTCTCCGCCGGAAAGGTGGGGGTTGGGGTGGGGAAAGCTGTCTGCTTGGACACCTGTGCTCTCGGCCCTCAGCTGTGACCTCTCACCTCCAGGGACACCCCTGTACCTTTCTTGAGGGCCGTGGGCAGGCCCAGCTGCCTCAGCTGGGGCTCCATGGAGTGGGGGAACTGCTCCAGGGGCCCCGGATCCAGGTTCACAGTGAAAGTGGCTTTGTTCCCTGCTCGGGCATAGTCCATTTCCGTGTACTTCGTGAACCACCTGAAGGAAAAGAAAACAGTCGTGTATGGATGCGACAGCTGGTAAGAGGGCTGAGCGCTGAAGAATTGATGCTTTCGAACTGTAGTGTTGGAGAAGACTCTTCAGAGTCCCTTGAACAGCAAGGAGATCCAACCAGTCCATCCTAAAGGAAGTCAGTCCTGAATATTCTTTGGAAAGACTGATGCGGAAGCTGAAACTCCAATACTTTGGCCCCCTGATGAGAAGAACTGACTCATTGGAAAAGACCCTGATGCTGGGAAAGATTAAGAGCAGGAGAAGAAGGGGTCGACAGAGGATGAGATGGTTGGATGGCATCACCAACTTGATGGAAATGAGTTTGCGCAAACTCCGGGAGTTGGTGATGGACAAAGTCTGGCGTGCTGCAGCCCACGGGGTGGCAGGGAGTCGGACACGACTGAGTGACTGAACCACAAACAACGCCCATCCACCTGAGGTCACGCTCCACCTGGCCTTGCCCGGCCTCCCCGTCCTCCTCGGCTCAGCCCGGAGCTCTGAGCTGGGAGGATAGAGACCCAGTGACAAGGTTACAGGAACCAGGTCTTCCTTGGACCCTCCACTGGACCAAGTCCTGGGTTACTCCTTCCCGGGAGACCTCACCCATCTTCTCCTTCCCACCGCGCCTCCAGAGCACTTACTCGTCCACTTCCTCCTTACTGCGATTGGTGAAAAGGAGACCAACTTCACCCCTCAACTTCTTGCTGACCTGCAAAACCAGAGGAGAGTGGCGTCCGTCACGTGGGAGCAGTGGTTCTCAGCTGGGGATGACTCTGCCGCCCCCGCCCCCCAACATTTGGCAACACCTGAAGAGTACTGTGAGGGGGATCTGGAGACTAAAGGAGAGCTGAGCCTGACGCCCGCCCCTGGGCCGTGGCTGGAGAGTGCGTCATGTGAGAGCGGGGAGGGCAGTCAGGTCGCCCCCGGCCCCGGTGAGAGCGGGGACCCACCTGATGCAGGTTGTCTTTGTACTCGTCAGACGGGCTCCGACCCAGCGCCACCATCATCACCTTGTTTTTGCCAAAGAACATCCTACAGAGAAAAAAAGGGCTCTGTGGAGGAGGCGCCCCGCCTCTAGCCCAGGAGGAGGCGTGGCCAGAGGGTGCTTTCCACGCAGCCCAGGGCCCTCTCGTTCTTTCCCGCACAGATCTGACCCGCACACATTTTGTCTCAGCCCACCGGGAGTGCGTCTGGGTCTGAGGAAGAGGCCCGCTGGACAGTCTGAACCAGAGCTGCTGGATGTTCTTTAAGGGACCAGACCCCAGGGTTCAGGGAGCCCCCTCTCCTGGAGGGATCACTGCTCTCCCTGCGCCCCCAGGGCAACAGCGACTTTAACAGTTAGGGACTTCTCCGGCGGCCCAAAGGGTAGGACTCTGCGCTCCCACTGCAGAGGGCCTGGGTGTGATCCCTGGCTGGGAAACTACGATCTCCAACCAAGCCAAGCAGCCTGACCGAAAAAACCAAACAACTCCCCGCCCCAAATCAGTTAGAAAGCGTCCTTCATCATGGGTTGGGGACAGTGGCACTCTGTCCTTACGAAGGCGGTGCTTGTGGCCCAGGTACCCAAGGCCACCAACTGCCCCTGTGCTTTCGAGCAGCCTGGCCCTGCCTCCCACTGCCCGCTCACCGACTGTGCTTCCAGGCGTTGCGGACGTCCTTCAGCTTGCTGTTCCTCATGTTGGCCACGGAGAAGATGAAGAGGTACTTGTATGTGTCCACACATTTCCGAAGCTACGGGACAATTCATGGGGCTCTGGAGTCCTGGGGCAGCAGGGGTCGGCAGTAATACTCTGGCCCCAGAGGGGAAGAGGCTGCTCCAAGGCCTCTGACAGCCGTGGGGGTTTAGAGCTGTCCCTGACAGACAGTCCCACACCCACCTTTAAAACCAAATACGAGGGCTGGGAAAATATAATAATAACAAAAAAACAAGCCCTTACCTCTTCTATCAAGTTCTGTTTCAGTTCCAAGCCCTTCTTGGCAGTTTTGGTTAGGGAGACTAACACAGAGAAGAAAAAGGAGAGATGATGAGAGAGAAACCTGAGCGTCCCAGAGGCCCATCTCTTCTCCGGCACCCAGCCGGATGGAGCCGATCTGAGAAAACTGGCAAGGCTTTTGTGGCTACTGCTTCTAGCTCGCAAGGCTACCCCCAGGTCCGCAGAGCGCCTCTCCAGCTTTCCTGAGCTGAAGATCCTGCCACATCTGTCCTGTCACTAGATAAAGCAGCTATCTACAGCCCCTCTGGGGCTAACTCCCTGCTGAGGAGTGGGGGTGGGGCACCCCCAGAGACCCAGCCTATGACGAGGGCTGGTCCCTTCCTGCTCCGGGCTGCAGTGTGTGGAGACCATCTACGGCTTCTCTGTGCTGTGGAAGGATGAGTCTGGGGCCTCTCCTCTGCTACACCACGTCTTACAATTTGGATCCGTGCATGCAGCGGCGCCTCTTTGGGGAGGGACAAACATCTCTTCTCTAACAAAAGCTGGGACCCAGTTTTCCCCTTACCCAGAAGGGTTTGGCACTTGCCAGGTTTGACCACGGATTCCGCCACAGAATCCAATCATTCCACAAACGCTTAACAGAGCATCAAATGCAAAGCCCTGGGTCCAAGGAGGGACCTGGATGGGTGAATAAGAAGTCCCTCTTCACGAAGCAAATGTCAGAAAGGTAATCACAGCAGGCAGGGGCGAGTGCAGTACAGGAGGGCAAACAAAATCCAGCCGTCCCGTTTCCCAACATTTCCACCGCCACAACTGTGGCCCAAGCCGGCACGGCGTTCTCTTGGATTACTGCTGGTCCCGCTGCTTCCACCCTTGCCACTGCCCCTGCCTTCCGAGGTCCATTCTCAACAAAGCAACTAGAGTGATCTTTTTAAAAGTAAAGCGGAACCCCATCACTCCTCTGCTCAAGCTCTCTCCTCCCACCTCACCTGAGTGTGAAAACCAATCCCGCGCAAAACTCTTTCAAGCTCTGCGCACTCTGCTCGGTTCTCTCTCCCTCCTTTCGCCCACTCTGACCTCTGGCAAAAGTTAAACATGCTCCTGCTTCAGGTCCTCTGCCCTTTGTGTTCCCTCTCCTTCGACCACCACCCTTCCAGGTAACTCCTTGGGTTGCCTTCTTCCTTTCTGCAAGTTCCTGCTCATTTGTCAATCTTAACAGACCTTCTCTAGCTACACTGCACAAGGGAACGTCAGCTGCTTTTTTCCTACATGAGGCTCATCACTATCTGAATTTATAGATTCAAACTTTTAGTATCCTGGGAAGACACACTTCCCAAAACTAAAATGTTAAGCTCTATGAGGGCTCTAGACCTTCCATGTTGTAACTGCAGTAACTTTCAAAACCTAAAGAGTTGCCAGGTCTTTAACTTATTGAGTGAATGTGCCGGGATGAAACAGACGCACCATAAGTAGAAAGTCAGAAACAGTCTCTTAGGAGGGGTCCTACGGACTGCCACCTAAGATTCAGCCATACGAAGATAGGAGCACGACCTTGCCGGCAGAAATAACTTGGAGAACACAACAACCATACTCGGGGATAAACCCGGGCTGAAGGAAAGGAGGTGAGGGAAGGGGGAGCGCGGAGAGCAAGAGAGAGAGACGGGCTGAGGTCGGAGAGGTGGGCCAAGACGAGATCGCCGGCACCCCGGGGGTGCTGAGGCTGTTCCCCGGCCACCCGGCCTTGGGTAACTCTGGAGGTCAGGCAAAGTCCTCTTCGCTTCGCCAACGCGGCTCCAGCTTCCCCCGGGGCTTCCGCCACCCTCAAGGGCCCAACCATTCCAGCGCGCCGTGAGCCCGCTCCCTCCTCGCAGAGGTCCCAGCGTCCTCCCCTGTCCTCCCCGAAGCCCTAGTGCAGCTGACAGCCGGCCCACAAACGGGCCCTCGGGGGCCCAGTGCGCCCTCTGGGCTCACCTTTCTTGTCGCGCTTGGACTTGGGCATCTCGCCGCGGCCTCGTGGGCGGAAGACGCTGCTGCCGGTCAGGCCCTCGGCGCGCGGGGGCCTCTGGGAAGGCCCTCGGTAGGCGCCCTCGCACGTGCCTGACCCAGCCCGCGCTGAAGCCCTGTTCTCCCTGCCCGGCCGCCGCCTGCCCTCTGCCTTGAGTCTCCAGGTAGACTTCCCACGCGGGCGGGGAACGCCGGAGTCTGGGGCGCCGCACCGAGAACCCCGCCTGTGGGCCCAACTCTATGGTTCCGCACCAAGGACCCCGCCTGTGAGCGCAACTCTATGGTTCCGCGGAGGCGGGGCCCGCGGCGCGGTGCATGCCGGGCCCAACTCTACGGTTCCGCACCGAGGACCCCGCCTGTGAGCGCAACTCTATGGTTCCGCGGAGGCGGGGCCCGCGGCGCGGTGCATGCCGGGCCGGCGGCGGGCGGGCCCGCGCTCCCATCATGGCGGTGGCGGCGGCCGCGGCTTCCCGGCTGTGGCTCTGGGCTGCCCTGCTTATCCCTGCGGCCGCGGTCTACGAAGACCAAGTGGGCAAGTTTGATTGGTGCGTACGGGGCGGGGGACGAGGGACGGTTCCTCTTCGGGAACTATTGTCCCAGTACCTGTTCTTCTGTTTAAAAGGAGGAGGGCTTTACCTTGCAGCAGGGCCGGCTGTATAACTTGCGGGGCCCAGGGCGAAATGAAATGTGAGACCCCCTCGTTCAAAAATTTTGAAAGAGTTTTAAGGTGGCCACGGCAGAGCGTCAAAGCGAGAACTGGGGGCTCTTCTGAGCCAGTCCCGGTACGGCGGTGCGGGTCGCAGGCCAGTAGCGGGCTCTGCCCTCCGGGCTCGCTTGAGGTTCTGGTCGGAGGTCACGCTTCTCCTCCCCGCCCGGCCGCGTTTCTGTGACTGTCAGCTGTTCGACTTGCTGGGTGTCCGACGTCGACCGGCTTCGGTGAAGATCCTCCTTCCCCACCCTTCGAGCCCAACTCTACCATGGGCTCAGAACTGGGCCGCCCAAGACACTAGCCAGGAGGTGCCATTCATTCATTCTTTCCTTCACTGACTGGCTCACTCACTCACTCTTCATTCGTTCACTCATTCAGCACTTTTGTTCATTCACTCGCCACTCACTCACCCAGCCAGCCACCCACCCACCCCATCCTTAATAAGGCCAGGGAATGGGCTTACTTTTGCTTGACATGTCAGTTTGCCACTTAAGCATTGTGTGATCTCAGGAAAATGACTTAACCCACTCTATGCCTCGATTTCTTGATCTGTAATTGAGTTTACTGACAGTCCATTACCTCCCACAGTAGCTGCAAGAATGAATGAGGCAATTCTTTTAAATTACTCAGCGCAGTGACTGGCTCGTTGAGTACAATCATTATGTTACCAATTATTGCTAGTCAGGGAACACTTTCAAAGCCTAGCTCCTCTGTGAAGTCTTCTATATCAAACAAATGGATTCGCATGTTTGTTGAGTGCTTGTTGTTGGCACAGTGGTCGTTCTAGGTGCTGTGGATGCAGAGCTGGAAAGGAACTTAGGCTGGTAAGGGGGCAGATATATAAGTACATGATATAAAGCAGTGTGACAAACGCAGCATAGGTCATGTTTGTTTGTTTGTTTGTTTTTTTGGTGGGTTGGGGGCAGTGCTGTGGCTCTTGGGATCTTAGTTCCCTGACCAGGGATCAAAATCATGCCCCCTGCATGGGAGTCCTAAGCACTGAACTTATGGACCATTCCCATAAGTCTCATTTTTAATGATGTGGGCAGATGCTCACAATATAATATATACAGTTGACTCTTGGACAATGCAGGGGTTAGGGATGCAGACCCTCTGTGCAGTTGAAAATCGAGTGTAACCTATAGTAAGCCCTCTGCGCCTGCAGTTCCACACCCACAGAGTCAACCAACCATGAGTTGTGTAGCGCTGCAGAATTGACTGTAGAAAACAACCAGCGTAGGGAATTCCCTGCTGGACCCCATGTTTTAGAGTGCGGGGGGCCCAGGTTTGATCCCCAGTTGAGAAACTAAGACCCCCACAAGCCTCAAGGTGCCACTAAGAAAAGAAAGAAAAGAAAACAACCAGCACGTAAGTGGATCTGCTCAGTTCAAACCCGTGTTGTATATGTTACACATGTACATGTCATCCAATTTAGCAGAATCCTAGGTATATGCAGTTTATAAATTGAAAAGTAAACAAATACACCAAAATGTTGAATGTTTATCGCTAGAAAAAAAGTTTATGGCTGAAAAAAAAAGTTTATGGATGATGGTATTTTAGGCACTTTTTTGTTTTCTATTTTATACCCTTGTGTATTTTCATGTTTTCTTCAATAAGCAGGCATTACTTTTATAGTCCAGATAAAAGATATCAGCATTTTAAAAGAGAGCATGGGATTTAGACTTAGAAGATTAGATTAGATTTAGATTTAGACTTAATTTTGCATCCTAGTTCTAACAGCAATTTGTTGATGTCAGTGGACTTTGGTTTTCTCACCTCTAGAATGACAGTAATAGTATTTGCCCTGTATACTTCATAAAGTGTTCAGTGATTACAGTGAGATTAAAGTAGGTTAAAATACAGATGGAAATTGTCAGATGTCATATAAACCTGTCACTCTATACTAGTATAGTTTCTTCTTTTGTAAAAAGTTAGACCAGACAGTGTAACAAGGGAAATTCTGTATAAATGTTATGTGTTTAATTTGCTAGAGGCCGCATTCGTGAACAGCAACATGCAGCTCACCTCCTTTGTACTTGGTAGTGTGCAGGGGAAGCTCATTGCATTCCCTTTATGCAGAGATAAGAGTGTTGAAAGTGATGGGATATATTCCAAGTAAAGTATGAGTAATGAGTCAGATGCATCCTGAGTACCGTGTGGGTTAGAACAGCCTGCAAAGAACAAAGGCCTGACTCAAATCTGTCAAGTTTTGTTAGAATATTTGTATAATTTTTCTCCAAAGGTCAGTGAAAATAAAAGGGAAAGTTGGATTGTGTGCTCATTGACAACAGGGTTCACGTCTCTTCTCTTATGTGTAATATGAGTGTCTAGTCCCACTATTTTTTTTTAATTTTGCAGCACATGGGATCTAGTTCCCTGCCCAGGGATCAAACCTAGATCGCCTACATTGGGAGCACAGTGTCTTACCCACTTGACCACCAGGGAAGTCCCTGGTCCCACTATTAATGAGTACAGAGAAGACGGTAATTTTGTTCTAGTGGGATTTAGGCCAGGTGCCCTTTTGAGTAAGGTAAATATGTGCTTGCATTTAGAAGGAAAAGTGTTACATTAGGCATTAGGGTGTATTCTTTCTTCTTCCCTTTGTTCCTGAGTACATTGCCTGGAAATCTTGCTTTTGGTCAGATCTCTTCATTAACAAACATTTCCCGTGCATCCCAAGACAGGTGTGACGGTGATAACTTCCTGTATTTGTGCAGTTGTCTTTTTTCCAAAGTGTCCTGTGCGGCGATGACATTGGCCCCTTCCATTTCCCTGGCCCCTTTCCTTTAGGAGACAGCAGTATGTTGGGAAGCTCAAGTTTGCCTCTTTGGAATTTTCCCCTGGATCGAAGAAGTTGGTTGTGGCCACAGAGAAGAATGTGATTGCAGCATTGAATTCTCGGACTGGGGAGATCTGTGAGTGGACTGTGTAGATGGGTAGCTGGGGATGGTGTGGCTGCTCGTAATGAGTCCAGGATGTCCTGTGGCTGGAGACGTCTGTCTGGCTGATACCCCACCCTTGGGGACAACATGGCCGAAAGATGCGTCTTTTATTGGATTCGGATCATTTATTTATTTTTCAGTTTTGCCGTTTTTGAGTATTTAATATATTCCTATAACTGGCCTTTAAGTTTATTTCCTCAGCCCGTGTCCTGACTGTTCCTAAGTAAGATATTGCTGTAAAAAACACATTTTTCTATTAAGATTTTACACTGAAGCTTTGGATGTTCCCCCCTCCCCCACCTCCAATTATTTATATTGCCTTTGTGGATTTTTTAGGCATTAAAATCATGGAAATGTGATTTATAATCACTGCTTTGCTTGTGAGTTGTAGAGATTTTGTGAATTTTGTCTTTGTCCTTTTCTGTATTGGGTGGGGTGGGGTGGGGATGGGAAGAGTGTGATCTCAGATCAGCACAGCGTGGCTCCCCTGGTTACCCAGGGAGTGGGGGTGGCTCACTGCCCACCCAGGGTAATCCTTCCCTGGATACTTGTGTGCAAGCAAAGGCTCCCCGGGCTCTCTCCCGCGCGCTTCCTGGGTGCCTGGCCGCGGCTCACAGTAACGTCTCACTCTCCTGCCTCCCAGTGTGGCGCCACGTTGACAAGGGCTCGGCAGAAGGGGTGGTGGACGCCATGCTGTTCTGCGGGCAGGGTAGGTGGAGCCCGGCCTTGTCCCTGTGACGGCGTCAGCGCCCTCTCCTCTTTCCTTGGTTCCTTCCTTTGTTCAGGGTCTGGGAGGGAAGGGAGTCGGGGTGTTCCCAGCAGGAAAGGACGGGTGCAGTTTCTGTTTGCACTTGTACATGGGAGGTGAGGCCACTGGTCACAGGCCCTGGGAGGCTCCAGACAGTGCAGCAGTTTGGGAGATGAGCTCATGTAATCTTTTCTCTTTCAGATGCAATCACTGTGTCCAATGGAGGCCGGATCATGCGCTCCTGGGAGACAAACATCGGGGGCTTGAACTGGGAGGTTACCCTGGACAGTGGCAGGTAGAGGGAAAGAAGCTAAATTTCGTCCTGGTTTGGTTAAAGGCTTCGTTGGAACACACATTCTATGTGGACAGCAATTCTGGGCCTTTTGACTTTTTTCCCCAGGGGGAGAAAGCACCAAAGAGCCAGAGAGCATCAGCTATCCATTCTTGATGTCTTGAGGTTATGGGACACGTGCTTACTCCGCATTTATTGAGCGCCTGTTAGAGGCAGAGTTCCATGTTGGGTGCAGTGTTCATTTCTGGTATCAATTGCTTTTCCTAATCTTACCATGACATGAGAGCTTTGCAGTGTTCTAGGTATGAGAAAGTGAAAGTGGAAGTTAGTCACACAGTCCTGTCCTACTCTTTGCAATCCCATGGACTGTAGCCCGCCAGGCTCCTCTGTCCATGGAATTCTCCAGGCAAGAGTACTGGAATGGGTTGCCATTTTCTTCTCCAGGGGATCTTCCCAACCCATTGAACCTGGGTCTCCTGCATTGCAGGCAGATTCTTTACCAACTGAGCTACTAGGGAAAGATTCTAGGTATGAGGATGGAGTATAAAACTTCCTGTGTTTTAATTTTATGTTTAAAAACCATTTGAGCTACTGTTTCAGCTACATCTTGCTAAAGTTGTTTAAATGATGGAGTTGCTTGCTTTAGGTTATACATCTTCTGATAGTAATTTATTAGGTAAGGGCTTGGGGGTGCCCCCAGGCAGTGGGAACCCACTTGTGAATGTGAAACAGTTTCCATCATCAGCTAACTCCATTGTCTTTTGGGTGCGGCAGGCATGCAGCCTGCTAATGACAACTGTCTGATGGCTGCAGTGGTGGAGGGTTGGCCTGGTTACTGTGAAGTCCCAGGGAGAGAAGGGAACAGCCCTTAGGAGGTCAGGGAGTTCCAGGGAAACAGTCTAGTCGAGTGGCCGAAGGTACAGTCTTTCAAGTCAGAGCCAATATTTGGGTCCGGACGCGTTTGACCCCAAAGCCTGCTTCATTAGCTCCCGAGCTGTGTCCCGGCTCGCCCAGCCTGAGGCCCGGAGGCTCGGGCGCCTCTCACACCACGCCTGTGCTCAGTTTCCAGGCCCTCGGGCTGGTCGGCCTGCAGGAGGCAGTGAGGTATGTTGCGGTCCTGAAGAAGACCACGCTCGCCCTCCATCACCTCTCCAGTGGGCACCTGAAGTGGGCGGAACACCTCCCGGAGAGGTAAGGCTGCCTCCCCCCAGGTGGCGGCCACCTCCTCCTGCTCTGTACCAGCCCGTCTTCCTCCTTGAGAGTCAAGCGTTTGAATCCTGGGCAGGGTCCGGCGCTCACTGGCCGCTAGGCCTGGACTCCGAGGCTGTGGCTGCCTTGGAGTCTCCTCTGCTGAGGGGAAGACGCTCCACCTGGGCCCGAGAGCCAGTCAAGCGAGGGGAGTGGCTCATTCACTCAGCTCGCCTTGTCAGGGACCCAGCGCTCAGATTCCACAGCTCAGATTCCTGTGGAATCGTCGGGGCCGAGTGCGCAGCCTCCATGCGCAGGGCAGGCCTGGTGGGGAGTGTTGGGAGCTGCAGTGTGCCTGGCCCGCCTCAAGGGGGCAGCCTGACTCATGACGGTGCCCTGTGTAGTCAGGCCTAGCATTACCACGTCTTAACTTTTTAAGAAAAGCTAGAAATCTTACTATTACATGCTGAATCTCAGTTCTAAATGTTGACAACAAATTCAAATTAAAAAAAACTGAGGCAAACAATACCCGTCTGAGACGGCTAGTCTGTGACTGCTGGCCAAGCCCCTGGCGGCCGGGTGTCGGATCCCTGAGGGTGGTCCCGTCCTGTGGTTAAGCCGTGGCTCCCTGCTCTTCCTTCCCTCTCTCAGTGACAGCATCCACTACCAGATGGTCTATTCCTACGGCTCGGGGGTCGTGTGGGCCCTCGGAGTCGTCCCCTTCAGCCATGTGAACGTTGTCAAGTTTAACGTGGAAGATGGAGAGATCGTTCAGCAGGTACGGTCTGGCTGGAGGAGACTCGTGAATTGCGGAGGGGAGCAGGTACAACCTTTCTTTGCACTGGAGTGCAAAAGCCGGGTGAATGCAAAAGCCACTCATGGTCCCTGATGCTGGGCACTTGAAGGCTGCCTTCTGCTCATCAGACATTTATGTAGAGCCCACAAATTTGCACATGGTGCTCTCTTGGGGTGGCTAAAAAAAACCTGCATAGATCTGTTCATTGCCCGTGTTATCTTACAAGGTGATACTGAGGGTAATAATATGGAACCGCGTGTGACAAACGCAGTAGAGAGATGCTAATCGGAAGGGTCAAGTATTGCTGCCCTGCAGCTTCCAGCCTTGCCGGCACCGTGGCTACGGCTGCCCTGTTGCACCTGTGACATTGGGGCAGAGAGGAAGTGGCTATTTCTATGCTCAGTGCTCAGAACTGAGCGCTAAGAGTGAACTGCAGCCGGACTTCACCAGGACAAGAGAAAAGTGTCCAGTATTGAAAAGGGCCTGGTTTAGTTTTCAAACCACCAGAAGGCAGATCCCGATCTTCTCCAGCTGTGGAGCTCTCGGAGGCTGGGAGGGACAGGAAGGACTCCTTCACAGCCCCCCAGGAAGACCCTCTGAGCCGAGCCCCTCCCCTGGGATCTGGTGGTGACGGGCTGGTGAGCTGAGAGGGAAGTGTGAGCGTCCCCAGGAGCCTGCTGTCCTTTCGTCTTCCATGTAGGTCAGGGTGTCGACCCCCTGGCTGCGGAGTCTCACCGGGGCCTGTGGTGTGGTGGACGAGGCTGTCCTGGTGTGCCCGGACCTAAGCTCGCGGTCCCTGCAGACCTTGGCCCTGGAGACAGAGTGGGAGCTGAGGCAGATCCCGTTGCAGGTAAGAGGCTAGAGCTGCTTCCCCGGCCCGAGGTGCTGCCTTGGCCGCTGGGAAAACCCTTTCTCCCAGGCAGCCCCCTTGAGGTCAGACCTCTGGCGGCACTGGAATGAGGGCAGACGGGCCACTCTCCCCCTTGGAGAGCCTGAACGAGAGCTTCCGGAGCCCCGTGCCGAGGCCTCGGTACTTTCACTGGCGAAGTGGGACAGAGGCCGCCAGCCTGGGACAGTCCGTCCCCCATCCTCTCCTGGCCCTCAGCCTCTTCCTTCTTGTCCCCCAGTCTCTTGACCTAGAATTCGCAAGTGGATTCCAAGCCCGGATCCTGCCCACGCAGCCCAGCCCGGTGGACCCGTCTCGGGCGCAGTTCTTCCTGCAGTTGTCCCCAAGCCACTATGCACTGCTGCACTGTCACCACGGCGTCCTGAGTCTGCTCAAAAACTTCCCGCAGGTAACTGCAGGCAGCATGGTGCACTAGGATTCAGGCGGGTCTAGCTGAGGCCTGGATGCTGGAAATCCTTGCCTTTGAATTTGGAGATACTTACTCAAGACAGAAGTCCTCTTTCCATGAGTGTTTTGAGAGGGGTTAGCCTTAGAGTAGAAATGGAATACTTTGTTCTTTTGAGAGTTACAGAGGATTTTTGGAGTAAAACTGGTACCTTCCTGAATGCATGGGAGAGTGGGCACGTTAATTAGGACTCCCCTGTAGATACGGAGAGCCGCGCTGAGCTTGCCTGTCCTGGAGGTCCGGCAGGGCCTGGCTCAGCCGTGGGTGCAGTGGGGCTTCCTCTGCCCTCAGTGCTCTGGCCGTCATGCTCCAAACGTGGGAGTGTTTTTAACTCAAGGCCATGAGTTCTTCTGGTGGAGGCGACCCTAAGACTCAGGCTAGGACAGGCCCTGTTTAGGGACTGGCACCTGACTTCACCCGCAGGCTGCCCTGGTGAGCTTCGCCACCACTGGAGAGAAGACAGTGGCTGCAGTCATGACCTGCCGGAACGAGGCGGTGAGTGTTGGGAAATAACAGCGCTTGGCCACATGCGGGATCTTAGTTCCCTGACTAGGGATCGAACTCATGCCCCCTGCTGCAGAAGCACTGAATCTTAACCGCTGGAATGCCAGGGAGGTCCCAGGGTTTTCTTTCCTTTATCTTTGCTGGAAGCCCTGAGAACCAAAAGCCTGGGCATGTTCACCTGGTCACTTTGACCCGGGGCGGGGGTGGAGGCTGTTCTTTGTGCCCGGGAGTGGGATGCCCTCACAGTCATCTGGGCCTGTTCCGGGTCGCGTGAGGTGTGTGTGTGGAGATGGGGGGTGGGAGTTGCCCTCTCCCAAGGGCTGAGAAGACCTGGAGGTGGAAGCTTCGTTTTGGTGGCTGGGAGGTGACCCTTTGGCTGTGTTTTCTCTTTCTCGTTTCCATAGCAGAAGCCCAGCGTTTCTGAAGATGGGTCACCTGGGAGCTTTTCGGAGAAGTCTGGTCCCCAGGTAGGGTGTGGTCTTGGGCAGTGCGCTGGACCTATCCGTGGGACCCCCCGTGAAGCTGGAGGAGCGGTCCAGGCTGGGAGCCAGTCTCTTAAGTTTTGTGAATTAAACCGTGCTTCTCTTGATCTTTTTCAATTGAGAGATTAGAAAGTAGAATTCCTAGATTCTGTTCTTAAGTGTGTTCTCCTCTGGGCCTCCGTCTCCTCATGTCTTGCGGGGTCCCCACTGGCGGAGTTGAGGGTTAGTCTGAGCAGCTGCCCTGAAGCAGAGTGTGGGGCGCTGGCCGGAGGCACGCGTTTCTGTCGTGGCTTCCGTCTCCTCGGCTTTTCCCAAGGCGGGGTGTGCTTTCCCTGCCTACGTTCTCACACTAACTCTTCGAGAAGTCTCTCTCCACTCTCCTTGCTTTTCTGGAGTAAGTTATGTATGGTGGTTGTAATTTTGCTTATTCATTCATGCTCCTTATTTCTGCCTTAGGATTTAGCTTTGCTTTCTGGCCCCGGGTCCTTCTCTAGGATGTTGCCCACCCCCCCCCCCCAGCCCCACCCAGGTTCTTGGACTTCTCTGGGGGACTTTGCTTTGCGGGACTTCTGTAGTTGAACCGTGTGGTCTGTGCCCTAGGACTCGCTGGCTTGCTTCAACCAGACCTACACCATCAACCTCTACTTAGCGGAGACAGGCCGGCGGCTGCTCGACACCGCGATCACCTTCAGCCTGGAACAGAACGGCACTCGGCCGGAGCGGGTAGGTCGGGGCCTGGGGGCTTCTCAGCCTGGGGCTTTCTTTCCTCGGGCTCAGCTCCGCACCACAGGTCCCAGACGTGGACTGTAGTTCTGCCTGAGCCACTAGCTTGCCAGAAACGCCTATAAATACCAATAAAAGAAGTGCCATTTAAGCCAAGCTGCCAGTGTGCTGGGCTCCATGCTAAGCTTTTCACTTACTCATGATGGATTCAATCCTCCTGATGAGGGACTTCCCTGATGGTCCAGCGGTTAAGACTCTGCACTCCCAATGCAGGGGGCTTGGGTTCGATCCCTGGTCAGGGAACTAGATCCCACATACCACAACTAAAGATCTCACGTGTGGCAACAAAGGTCCCAAGTCCCACAGCTAAGATGGGGTGCAGGCAAATAAATATTAAAAAAAAATCCTCCTGGTAGTCTTTTGATTACCACTGCCCTAGCCTCATAAACGAGGAGGCCGTGCCTGGTGAGACTGAAGACGCTACCGCTGCCCAGCCTTGCCTCTCTGCACATTCAATGGTGCTCCTCAGCCTCCCTGGGCGGTTGCTGCTTAGTCTCCAAAATGGAAAGTCCACTCCGGGCCTCCTGCTAACTTTGTGGGGCGTGATCAGTGCATAGTGAATGCTCGGGTGGCCGAGACAGTCTCAGGCTCCTCCGTAGAGAGGACCCGGGCTGGCTGCCTGCACTGTTGCTGTCAGCTCCTCAGGATGCGTGGTGTCTGTAAGCAAGAGTCCAGGAAGCGCTGTGTGGTTTGGACACTCAGGGATGCCGTGACCTGACCTCTGACCTCTCCTCGTGCTTTGAATCTTGGGGTTTGGGCTCTGAGAGGCGTCTGGATTCCCGCTGACTGCAGGGGTCTTGGCTGTTTGGTTCACAGCTATACATCCAGGTCTTCCTGAAGAAGGATGACTCCGTGGGCTACCGGGCCTTGGTGCAGACACAGGATCACTTGCTGCTTTTCCTGCAGCAGCTGGGTGAGTGGGCCCCATTTAGCTCCTGTTTGTGGACCTGCCCATGAGTTGCATTCAGACCCTTCATCTGGGGCTGTGGCCAGACTTCCAGGAAGGATTCAAGTGCAGTGTATCCTGCCTATTTTCCCAGAGCGCTACCTAGGGACCTGTCTGAATAATTCCTTAGCACTTCTGGGCGGGAGACAGAACGCTCCTCACTTGACCTCCTGACCCCAGCCCCTGGCCCCGTGTCTCTTTTTGGCCCGAGAGCCTCCGAGAAGGGTCCATTCAGGGGACGGCGGAGGCGGGCTGAGTCTGGTGACCTTGGCTCCTGCAGCAGGGAGGGTGGTGCTGTGGAGCCGCGAGGAGTCCCTGGCTGAGGTGGTGTGCCTGGAGATGGTGGACCTGCCGCTGACCGGGGCGCAGGCGGAGCTGGAAGGGGAGTTTGGCAAGAAGGCAGGTAGGAATGGGGGGCTGGGAAGCAGAGCTGCTGGTGGGGGGCTCTGGGACCGCCGGCAATCCTGTGGCCTGCATCTCTGGCTTCCGGGTGCGGCCGCTTTGCCAGTCTGTTCTGAACCAGCTCTGTGCCCCGTTTCCAGTGCATTTGTGCCCTGGTGGCTTATGGAACCACTCCTCTCCAAAAGGAGTGACTTGTGACTCTTTCTAGGGAAAGATCCCAGTGAAAAAGAGTCTTAACGTAGCATCATCATAGCTGCTTGTTTGAGGACCTGAAATCTGCCAAGCACCGTGTCAGGCCCTATACACCTGTTTTCCCCAAGGCAGGAGTTCCACCTTTCCAGAGAGACCTGGCTGGGTTGGCCAGGTTCTGCGGGAATAGGCCCGTGCCCTTCGAACCCGGCCATGGTCCCAGCACCCAGAGAATTTGCTTCAAGTCCACCCGCCCGGCCAGCCAGCTGGTGTTTGCTAGGAGCCTGCTCGGGCCAGCCACCCTGCTAGGCACCGCGGGTGTTCTCAAGCCGAGGATTAATGTGCCTTTACTGTTTACTTCCGCTGCCGGGATCCAGCCATCCAAGGTAAAGCCCGCCTCCGCTGCCTTGTTGCTTGCTGCCTGCTCACACAGCTGGCTTCCAGGCCGTCATTTGTTGACCTGGGCTTGCTCGGTGCGGTGTGTGCCACGTGCGCGGACTGCCTGCCTGTGACTCGCCCCGTTTGCCTGCCGCTTCTCTCCCTTGAGCCGGGGTTGACGGACGTTGGCCGAGGAAAGGCCCGGCCCTTTTCCCATGAGCGTTCTGCACCCGCCCCGGGGAGGTCCCGCGTGTCCCTCACAAGGTCTGGTCTTGGCAGCAGCCCAGCAGGTGCTGTGCCCTTTTACAGACGGGGAGCTGGAGGCTGCAAGGTGAAGGACGTTTCTCAAGGTGGTGGTTTGATTCCTCAGTCGGGTCCGACTCTCTATGACCCCATGGGCTGCAGCCCACCAGGCTCCTCTGTCTGTGGGATTTCCCAGGCAAGAGTACTGGAGAGGGTTGTCGTTTCCTTCTCCAAGGCCACCTGGCCTGTAAGCAGTGCACCTGGGAAGTGAATCCCGACCTGCAGACTCAGAGGCCTTGCTTCTTACCGTGCTGCCTTACCACGGTGACCTGTCTCCAGTCCAGAGGAGATCTGAGGGTGGTAGTCTCCTAGACGGAGGAAGGGGCGGAATGAAAGGGAGCCCTGGGAGTGGGCTGCAGGGAGGTCTGTTGGGAGCAGGTTGAGCAACTGACAACGTAGGCCTGACGCCGCGAGAAACGGAAGTGTCTGTTGATGACGCACACACATGCACCCCGGCGCCCCCACGCCCTGCCCTCCTCCGGCTCTGCACGGCGCCCGGAAGCCTTCCGCTGGCCGTTGTAGATGTGGGCTTGTGGTGGAGATGCTTGTGGCACAGCCGCACCCTGCATGGCTGCACCCTGCCCTCCTAGTCTCCTGTCCCGAGATTGCAGGCGGGCGGCGTGCTGAGAGCCCCGTGAGTAGGTCTTAGAAGTTCCCGCACGGCTGTGCCTGGGTGTGAGACTGTTGGCATTGGACATAGGACTGCTCCTTGGGCTCGTGGCCTGGGGTGTGGATGACTCGAGTGCTCCGGAGGAGAGGGAGAGAGCCCTCCTTAGGGGGAGCACGTGCCCCCTCACTGGAAAGCCCCATTCCGCCGAGGAGAGAGCCTCAGCTCTGGTCCCCTTTCCTTGACACCAGATGGCCTGCTGGGCATGTTCCTGAAGCGCCTGTCCTCCCAGCTCATCTTGCTGCAGGCCTGGACCTCCCACCTCTGGAAAGTGTTTTACGATGCTCGGAAGCCCCGGAGCCAGATCAAGAACGAGATCAACATTGACACTTTGGCCAGGGATGAATTCAACCTCCAGAAGATGATGGTGATGGTGACGGCCTCGGGCAAGGTGAGCCCTTCAGAGGCCCCGGGAGGGGGACAGGAAGCCCGGGACGGGAGCTGGAGCCAGTTCTCGGTTCAAGGACAGAAGTAGCTCCGGGTCGGCCTCTCTGTCTGTGTTGCAGCTCTTCGGCATCGAGAGCAGCTCCGGCACCATCCTGTGGAAGCAGTATCTCCCGCACGTGACGGCAGGCTGCTCCTTCACGCTGATGGTCCAGCGGACGACCGCGCACTTCCCCCAGCCGCCCCAGTGCGCCCTGCTGCTGCGGGATGGGGTGAGTCCCCGCCCCGCCGCTGCGCCCAGCGGCCGCGTGGCTTCGCTTGGGCCTCGGGGCTCTCTGAGGGCGCAGGCAGGGAGTCAGGACTCAGGGCTGCGTTCTTCCAGTTTTTGCCTGGATGGAGCCCCCTCCCCCACTGGGGGTTGGGGGTGGCCGATGAAGAAGCGCGTAGGTGTGATGTCGCCAGGTCCCTAGTGAGCCAGCCCTGTCTCTCCCAGACACAGGAGGCTGTCGGTACCTAGAGGGTGGCTTGCTCTTCTCCCGGTGGTGGAGGGCAGGACAGCAGCTGTTCATGCCTCTGTCTCCCAGGGAGCAGATGGCTTTTTGCACGTACATTCTGCCGTCATCGGAAAGGGGGCCAGGTAGACATTTCATCTGTTCCTCAGTGTGACCCATTCTTGGCTTTGGGCTAAAGGCAGTTACATTTTTAGCCTTTGGACACATCGGCCTTCAGACGCTTTCACCTTCAGCCAAAGCTTTGTTTTCCACAAGGCGGGGAAAGACGAAGGGATCCTCTGTGGCTGAGTCAGGTCCCCAGTTCCTTAGGATTTGCAGTCTTTTCCTGTTGGAAGCTGACCGTTGCTTGCCCATTTCAGGAGACGGGAATGAGTTCGCTCTATGTCTTCAACCCCATTTTCGGGAAGTGGAGCCAGGTGGCGCCCCCCGTGCTGAAGCGCCCCGTCTTACAGTCTCTGCTGCTGCCCATCATGGATCAGGACTATGCCAAGGTGCTCTTGCTGATAGACGACAAGTACGAGGTATGCGTCCGCAGAGGCTGCGGGGCCCCTGTCAGCCGGGGGCAGGGCGCCCCACCGCAGCCTGTGGGCCCCAGGTGGGCTCGGTCTGCAGTCAGCACATGGTGGGGCTTGAAGGCTTCTCTAAGCAGTGATGGCTCTTTCTGCGCTTGTGAAAACTGGGTCTCTTAAGAGAACTCAGTTTAAGCCCTGATTGAATTCAGCAGACTTTAATTCCTTTAAGATTTGTTTTATTCTTAAGGCCCTTTCTGACAGGAAACAGTGAAGAGTCTGGAGAACCCACGCCTAGGGATTCCTTTTCCTTTAACTTTGGTTTTTAAAAGCCAAACATTTGTTTGATTTATTTGGCTGAACCTTAGTTGCGGCTTTCAGGATTTTCGATCTTGGTTTCAGCATGCAGGATCTTCAGTTGTGGGATTTAGTTCCTTGACCAGGGATCAGTCCAGGGTCCCCTGCACTGGGAATGCGGAGTCTTAGCCACTGGGCCACCACGTCCCCCTGTAACTCTTCTCTGGGGTTTTCCAGGTCACAGCCTTCCCAGCCACTCGGAATGTCTTGCGGCAGCTCCATGAGCTCGCCCCTTCGATCTTCTTCTACTTGGTGGACGCAGATCAGGGGCGGCTGTGCGGATATCGGCTCCGGAAGGTGGGCACTGGTGTCCTCCAGGACCCGTGGTGGGAGGGGTGTAGGTAACAGGAGTGAATTATGCTGGTTGTGGTGTTGTAAGCATAGATGAGTGTCATCGTGATGTCGAAGGCCGTCATTCTCGTGTTTGTGGAGCAGGCCTGGTTGCTGCTGCCGCGGAAGGAACCGGGCATGACCGACGGGGTCTCGGCCCCTTGGAGCTTTCACTCCACATGCCTCTCCTGCGGCAGGGGAAGGCGTGTTTTCGCCATCCTTAGGGTGGGAGGTGGGAATGGTGACTGAGCAATAGTTTTCTGTATGAAGGTGGTGTTACTGATCCACTCTTAATCAAATGTGAGTTTTGAATTTTACTTCTAGAATTGGGATCAATTTGCTCCTGTCCTGACATACTTGAGTCCAGCTCTTGCAAGTACTGATTGATGCTGGCTCTGAAGCCCTGCTCTGAGCTTCACAAGGGCTGGCCTTGGCCCCAAGAGCAGGGCCGTGTTGAGGGCTGATCTGAGATGTGTCCTCTCCAGCGGGTCCTGCCATCCTGTCTGTAAGCCTTTCGGAGAGGCTCAGACCTTGGACCTGGTTGCTCGTGCAGGAAGCCTGTCTGTATCACTTTTTCACTTTGTGTCCTCGGGCAGATGACTTCCGTCTGGTCTTCTGCTTTCTTGTCTGTAAGACAAAACGGTAATAATACTATGTCAGAGAGTTTTTGTGATGCGCTGGAGAGTTAATATGTGTAAGTCACATAAAGAAGTGCCTGGCACACAGTACATGCCATATAGGTTTCACCTGCTGTTGTTTAAAAAACACAGTGCCCTTTCCCAGCGTTTTGTAACAGCTAACCTTCCGCATAAACAGCATAGTAATGGTCTGTCCAGAAAGCATGCTCTTTACCCGGTGGGTGAAGAAACACTGTTCTTCTGAGTTGATGAAAAAGGGACCTTGAAAGAGAGTTCTTCGTGGGTAGGGGGTATGACCCAGGGTGCGGGTGTCATGGACCAGTGGAGCCCTGAGGTATCATCGTAAAGACAGTCGAGGGGAGCCAGAGGAGGCAGAGCTCCAGAGGGAGTCAGCGAGGGTGGGCTTCCAGGCTCCGACCCCCGGGGCTCCCTGGCGACCTTGCTCTCCGGGAGGGTTTTAGTGAACTCTGATGTTTTCATAGGAGTCTGTGAAGTGTTTTCATCGGAGCCTTGTTTTTTTAATAAAGATTATTATCATTAAAAATATTTTTTAAAGAAGTAACATGTGAATACATTCCCACGGTGAGAGATTGCATTGATACAGAGTTGCATGAGCAAACTGTGAAGGGCCCTTTCAGCCCCATCGCCAGCAGCTTCCCTGGCTGGAAGGTGCGTCAGTGGCCGCACGCCTTCCCTGGCCCGCCGCCACGCCCACTGCTGGGGAGACTGCCGGCCTGCGTGGGCAGGCACGGCGTGTGTACGTCCTCCCTGAGCTGGAATCGAGCCACATTCCATCAGTAGGAAATCTGCTTTGTTCACTTGATGTGTTTCTGCCGCCTCCTTTTGTTAAACCCACATCTGCTGAAAACAACCCTGAGAAGAGAGCAGAACCCTGCGGTTGCTGCGCAGGCCCCCCAGGAGGCCTGCGGCTGTGCGCACAGCAGTCAGATCGGGAAGCCCTCTAGTCACCGCCCGCCCCCCATCACTTAGGGCTCCACGCACTTCCACGTGTGGAGGTGTAATAACGCACTTAGCCATACAGGTTTATTGGTTTCTCTTGACAATAAAGAGCATGTCTTGTCACATTCTGAGGTCCCTGCCAGTTTAGTGGTTCACTGCCAGCTCCGTGTAGGGACCTTAGGTGTTAGTAATAAGTGGTAAGTTTTCTTTGAGTTAGTCCAGATAAACAGTGGGATACTACTGACTGTTCCGCTTCTTTCACACAGGCTGTAGTATTTCTTCTTTTGTTTGTTTGTTTGACAGAAAGTAGGCTTTATTGGCGGGCGTGAGTGAGGAGGGGTGGCTCTGAGGTCCCCATGGGTGCAGGGCCCACCCCCGGTCTAGAGGGCCACAGGTCAGGGCTGCGTTTGACCCCACAGCCGTGTTGGAGGAGCTGCTTTCCAGCCGCGAGGCCTTCAGGTTCACTGCGTCACACTTGGTAAAGCTGCACTTCTTGGAGATGGGGATCTGCTGGCAGCCAGGGAACTTGAACTTGGCTCTGCGTTGGGTCTCAGCCACATGCCCCTTGCTCTGCAGCTTGGTACAGATGGACTCCATGGCTTGGCTGACCGCTGCGCCCTGGGGCTCTCCAAAGGCACCGCGCTGTGCTGTTTGGAACTTTGGACTGGGGACAGCATGGGGTCAGACGCATGTCCCTTGGAGAGGACTGTCTCCCAGGTCCCCTTGGGCAGCCCAGACGAGCAACAGGTGCCTCCACCTGCCCAGGAGGCTGTTGTTCACAGCCATTGCACACCAGGCTTCACTGGTTTTCTTACTTGAACCAGGAGTTCCAAAACCTTCCCAGACTAGACCCTTATTGCTGCTTCCCTAGGACCTCTGACCCCTGTCCCCTCCTGCACAGAGGCGCCCGCTGGGCTACAAGACGGGTCTCGCCACAGCTGTCGTGGCCTAAGGGTACCTTCCTGATGATCGGTGCCGGTTCCTTCTCTTTGGCCCCACCCCAGGACCTCACCACTGAGCTGAGCTGGGAGCTGACCATCCCCCCGGAGGTGCAGCGCATTGTGCAGGTGAAGGGCAAGCGCAGCAGTGAGCACGTGCACTCGCAGGGCCGCGTGATGGGGGACCGCAGCGTGCTCTACAAGGTACGGGGGGGGGCCTGCGGTCGGCGGAGAGGGGCGCTTTCTGCGGGTTTTTTAATCCCTTTGAGCCTTAACTTTTTGTCTGTGAGATGGGCCTGATATACGCCCTCCCCCTGGGGTTGTGATGATCGCACGGGATACCACCCAGTGCCAGGCACATGGCCGCTGCCCAGCAGCTGTCGTCTGTTAGGACTAGTGGTCGTGCTGGTAGGCCTTTATGGGCATAAGCCTTAGTCGATCCATCAGAAACTCCATCTGTGATCCAACATCCTCCTGAGTGGGAGATGGAGAGGTGACTCGTCAGCTGCAGAACCATCCTCTGAGGGAATGTAATCCTTACAGTGATGAGCATGAGTTACAGCCTCTGGCAGAGCAGAGACGGAGTTGAAGGAGGAGGTGAGGGCTAGAGGGGAGCAGGTTTTGGCAGGCATAGACCAGGAGCTTAGCTTGGGGTGTGTTGAGTTTGCATTGAGACGTCTGAGAAGTGATTCTGACACAGCGGTCCATTAGTTGGGTCTGGAGTTCAGGGGGAGGCCTGGCTTGGACGTGTAAACATGGGCGCTGCCAGCCCCTGCAGTCCTGAAACCATCAGACTGGCTGAGATCACTGGGAGAGCGCGGGCAGATGGAAACATCTGGAGACTGGGGAGTGGAGGCCAGACCTGCAGAGGGGACTGAGAAGGAGCGGCCACTGAGGCAGAGGGCAGATGGGGCCTGGGCGTCCTGGATGCCAGGGGGCGAAGGCGTCTTAGGAAGGGAGTGATCACCCATGCCACCTGGTCTAGTCGGTCAAGTGAGATGAGAGCTGAGACCTCTCCATTGCTGTGGTAGTTGCAGGGCCCTGGTGGAGAGACGTCAAGTTGCTGGACCAGTGTCCTTCCATCAGGAAGTGGGCCAGCTTGAGTTGTGTCTTGAGTGACTGTTTGTGACTTGAGCGAGTTGCTTAACTACGTTAAGACGTTTCATCTATGGAGTGTAGATGGTAACTTCTATTTGCAAGCATGTTTATGAGAGTCAATGAAATGATGGAGGCCAAGCCCCTGTCATGACTTCCAGCCCCCAGTAGACACTGAACAAGCACAGTGATGATGACCCCTGAATAGGAAGTTCTTCCACCCAGAAAAGCTGCTTCCTCTGCCAGCCAGAGGGCTCTGTGCCCACCTCCCTACCCCGGGCTCACAGTGGGGTGCCACTCACGGAGTGCCACTGTGGTTCTGAAGGAGCTTTTCTCTCCATCTTCCCAGAGCCTGAACCCCAACCTGCTGGCTGTGGTGACGGAGAGCACAGATGTTCACCACGAGCGCACCTTCATCGGCATCTTCCTCGTGGACGGTGTCACGGGGCGCATCATCCACGCCTCCGTGCAGAGGAAGGCCAGGGGCCCTGTCCACATCGTGCACTCGGAGAACTGGGTGGTGGTAAGGCGGGTGGGTGACCTGGGCCTGACCCAGCCTCAGGGGACTCGGCCGGCCTCCTGCAGCTACGTCCTCCCCTGACTTCTTCTTCGGGAAACCAGTCTCTGCTTGGTGTTTTCATAGAATTCAGAACCCCTGGCTGGCAGCAGAGGGTGCTGGGTAGGGGGCTGGGACACTTAGATTTGATCACGTTCTTCCATTTTATAACTGTAAAACCTCGAACTAGTTTTTAAGCTCCCTGTGTCGTATCAGAGGGGTAACGACAGTTACCTCCTGTAATCAAGTTTAGAAGAGTGCCTGGCATGTAGAAAGCACTCAGATGTTAGCTGTTAGTCTTCTGACTTGTAAGACACTTGTGAATTCATTTTTTCTTGGAGTGCACCTGGATAGTCCAGATGCAGCTACCCTGAAGGTTAGTGAATTCAGTGAAAGTGATGGTCACTCAGTCGTGTCCGACTCTTTCCAACCCCATAGACTACAGTCGATGGAATTCTCCAGGCCAGAATACTGGAGTGGGTAGCCTTTTGCTTCTCTAGGGGATCTTCCCAACCCAGGGATCAAACCCAGGTCTCCCGCATTGCAGGCGGATTCTTCACCAGCTGAGCCACCCGGGAAGCCCAGCTCAGTAGCAGGAGGAAAGCTGTATGCTGGTGGCTTTTTCCTCCATGGACGTGCCTCTGCATGTCAGTTCCCCTTCCAGCCCAGCCAGCAGCTGGGCCCTGAGCAGCGTCCCCTCCTCTCTCCGCAGTACCAGTACTGGAACACCAAGGCCCGGCGCAACGAGTTCACGGTGCTGGAGCTCTACGAAGGCACGGAGCAGTACAACGCCACGGCCTTCAGCTCCCTGGACCGCCCGCAGCTGCCCCAGGTCCTGCAGCAGTCCTACATCTTCCCGTCCGCCATCAGCGCCATGGAGGCCACCATCACAGAGCGGGGCATCACCAGCCGCCACCTGCTCGGTGAGTGAGCCGCGCCCTTGGCAGCCTTGCTGGGGGCAGAGCTGGGATCCGAGAGGAGCGCTTTGTTTCAGCAGAAAACGTTCCCCAGTGGGGCTTGCGGTCCATGAGGGAGCGGACACCCCCCACCCCCACCCTCGGGTCTGATGGACCGTTCCCACGGCGCCTCTGCTGTTTGCCCCTCGCCCAGAACGTTGCGCCCTGACGGCGTCCCTCACAGGTGGCCTGTGCAGACGCGCTGCAGAGACTGGCGAGGCCTAGGGTCTCACCTTTGTGTACTTCAGATTCAGGACTCAGTGCCTGCAAAACAGGCTGCTCCGTCCAGTTGTTTCTACCAAAGACGTTTGGGGGTCTGAGCTTTGACAGACACTCTTCACCACTCTTTTACCCTCAGAAGCGAGGAAGATGGCCCTCTTAGCAGTTTCCCCCATTTAATTCCCGCTGTTCCTGAAACAGGCAATCCTGCGGGACCTCATGTTGCCAGGCCCTTCCCATCTCCTACCCCATCCCCTCCCCCACCTCCCGCCCCCATCCTGCACCAGCCTCCCTGCTGCCCCAGCGCACATGCTCGCTTTTGGCAACAGCGAGGAGCCCTGCTGAGCTGGGCGGGTGCTACTGCAGGACAGGATGGGGGATGCAGAGATCCAAGTGCCTTCGACTCTTTTCTCTTTCATCATTCCCTAGTTCTTGATTCTAGAACTTTATTTTCTGATGTCTCAGGATGATATGTGAAGCAGCTAGTGTCTTCAAAAGTTGGAACCTTCCTACAGACCCATGTGTATTAAGATTATTGTCTTTGACCATTGAAGGGCAACTCATTGAGCTGTATTTTTGATTTTAAGCTCTGTTTTGATTTCTGTGATAAGGACATTTTTGTGAGTAGCCCTAATCTGGGATTGGTCTGCGTGAACACTCACTCCTGCTGACTTGTCTCTGTGCAGTCGGGCTGCCTTCCGGAGCCATCCTCTCCCTCCCCAAGGCCTTGCTGGACCCTCGCCGCCCTGAGACCCCGACAGAGCAGAGCAGGTAGGCTCTTGTGGGTGCGCCGAAGGCTGACGTCAAGGAACTCTGCCTGTTGATGATGTTTGCTCCTGTGTCTGCTGTGCTGCGGACATGGCCGTGAACAACTCTGCCCTCATGGAGCTTGCATTCTAGTTGGGGAGGCAAGATGGACAATAAATAAGACAAACAAGTGAAATAATGCTATGTTAGATGCTTGTAAATGTTCAGGAGAAAAAACTCTTACAAAAGGGGCGGGGGCTAGGAGGGGTGGTACATGGGGTAGGATTTGAGAGGGTGGCCTGGAAAAGCCCCTGAAAAGGCGACATTCGGGGAGACTTGAAGGAGGCAAGCAGCTGGCCTTGTGGATGTCTGAGGGAGAACCTTCCAGGCGGAGGAAACCACCATCGCAGATGCCCTGAGGCCGTGTCTGGCGAGTTACAGGGAGGGTTGGAGGCCACTGCGGCTGGAGCAGCCAGCGGCGGGCACAGTGGGAGATGCGCGGAGGGAGGTGACCAGGTCCGGGTCACGTGGGGAGGATGGTGGCTCATCACTGAGAGTGTCCATTTTTGAATTTCTGGCCATCATCTCTGTGTTTTCTTGCCTCTGTCCCGAGTTTCCCTCCCCAGGGCTGTGAGGAACTGTGGGCAGGGTGAGGAGGCAGTAGGCATGTCCTCGCGTGGAGGGGAGGGAGGAGTATGGCTCGGAGCGAGGGAGGCTGCGGCTGTGGACTGAGCCAGTCTGGAGTGAAGAGCCGGGATCGGCCTCCTGGCTCAGTGTTTTGGTTTTAAAGTGGCCCTTGCTTCCTCTCGTGTGAAATACTGGTTTTTCTGTGTTCAGAACCAGGCGGGCCTGCAGGTCTCACTCTCCACACAGCTTCCTTCCTGACGCCCAGCTGCTCAGTGTTCAGCCCCCGGCGCATGGAGGCCCCAGAGGAAGGCTGAGGCTGATCCGTGGCCTGGAAACTGCCCAGCGCGCAGGGCAGCCGGGGGATCCCCTTACGGCAGCTTTGAACGCGATCCTGGCTGGTGTTTTTGCAGAGAGGAGAACCTGATCCCATATTCTCCAGACGTGCAGATCCACGCAGAGCGGTTCATCAACTATAACCAGACAGTTTCTCGAATGCGAGGTATCTACACAGCTCCCTCGGGCCTGGAGTCCACTTGTCTGGTGAGTAGAGCCCCCTGCCCAGCCTGTGCCCCCTCGTCCATCCACAGCCGACCTGCGTGACACCTGCTGTTTGCTTCCCTCTTTGGAAAATGACTGAGGAGCCTGTCTCCTTTCCGACCGGAGTCTGCGGCCGTGGCGGGCCACCAGCGCCTTTCTCACGGGTCTCTCGCTCCCTCTGCCCTCCAGGTCGTGGCGTACGGTTTGGACATTTACCAGACTCGTGTCTACCCGTCCAAACAGTTCGACGTCCTGAAGGATGACTATGACTACGTGCTCATCAGCAGCGTCCTCTTTGGCCTGGTCTTCGCCACCATGATCACGAAGAGGCTGGCGCAGGTCAAACTCCTGAACCGCGCCTGGCGATAAAGGCCTGAGACCCCCCTGCCAGAGAGCAGAGGGCCGAGGAGAGCGAGGGGCGGGCGCCAAGCTCCAGCGGCCCTCCCAGGTTGAGGGGGACGTGTGTGAGGCGCTCATCTCAGCCAAGCGCTGTGGGAGGGGGACGGACTCCCATGGAGACTGCTCTGGGGACACATCTGCTGAGGAGTCTTCAGGGGCGGACACAGGCTGGACTCTGTCAGCCGAGAGCGTGGAGCATCCTGAGGACTTTCCCCTGGAGTCCCAAGGCTGTTGTCATTCCCGGACTCTGTCAGCCGAGACCGCAGAGCATCCTGACGGCCTTTCCCCTGGAGTCCCAAGGCTGTCGTCGTTCCCTCTGTGCCTGTCCACAGATGTCACTGTTTGATAAGACCTCCAGCAGACCTTTCATGAGGCCTGCTTAAATTGATGTCAGTTTGCCTTCTGTCTCCCAGGTGTATCTGGGAAGCCTTCTCCTTGCTTCCAAAGTCAGAAGGAACTCTTACCGGTAACTCTACCTTATAGGTGCGTTTGCTGTTTCACACTGGGGAGAAAGAAGAGCCACACTTAGCTGAGGTTTGAGAACCGATCCAGCCTCTCATGGCTTCTTTCCAAAGTAACTGTGCGTCAAGGAATCTCTGTTTGTGTCAAAATTTCTCTTAACTAAGCCTCTCATTTCATGCTCCCATTCATGAATGGGCCAGCTGGCCTTAGATTCAGTTTATCGAAAACTGGGTGCATAGTAATATCTTTCTTTGTTGGTTGTTGTCGAAGCTCTTCTAAAATGTGTCAGAGCTGAGGCCTTTTCAGTACTACTGAATCGTCTGCACCTTGAAGGGATTTTAAGGGAGGAAGGCAGATCTGCCCATTTTACAGTCTCTCTCAACCTCTCATTTCACCCTTAGGCTGACCTGATCATCTTATAACCCAGTTGGAAAAAGTTGTCCTTCTTTAAGAAACCTCATTATTTATGTTTGGTTATGCGTTAATGTGTGGGTTACTATACTTCTTTTAAAATCAGCAGCTTTTAAATCTTGTCTCTAAACAAGGGGCGGAAAGGGTAGGGGTGGGACCCGGGTGTCTTGTGGATGTAGCCTTGTTGACTGGCTGCACTGTTTTCTCTGCTGCAAATTGAAGATGGCCTAAAAATTTCCCCTGTCAGTGGGTTTGGGGGACTGATGGAGTTTTTCTCTACTGTGAAGAATGAAATGTACAGAGAGCCCTGTCGGGAGAGAGGTACGTTTAAGTGTCCGAATAAAGTGAGTGACAAATGACACTGTTCAGGCCCTTTTCTGTGGCTTTGGAATGCACGTTGAGGCCACTGCTGCCTCGGAGGGGACAGAGAGCTGGGCTGGAGTGGAGCAAGTGCAGCGTTTAATTGGGAAGCATGCCAGTTGAAGCATGTAAGAGCTGTGTTACATAAAAAACAAACTGTTTTCTTTCTGTGGTCACATGCTGGTGGTAGAGAAGGAAGAGAAAGGAAAATAATTTTACTTTATTATTATTTTAGCATTTATTTACCTGGCTGCCTTGGGTCTTGGTTACAGCACACAGGATGCTTGTTGGGTTATGGGGGATCTTTCCTTGCGGCTCACGGATTCTCTAGTTGTGGCCCCGGGGCTCAGTAGTTGCAACTCGCAGGCTTCGTTGCCCCTCGGGATGTGGGATCTTCGTTTCCTAACTGGGGATTGAACCTGTGTCCCCTGCATTGCAAACTGAAATCTTAACCACTGGATCACTGGGGAAGTCCTGTGAAATTTGATTTTAATGAATGAATGAACATCTGAGTATCTTCAGAAAAAAACAGGCATCTATGCATCCTGACTCAAGGTGTGTTTTGTTTAAAGTGACCTGGGAGATGGGGATAAGTACAAATTAAAAAAAAAAAAAATCTGCCCTAGTTTTGAGGAAGCCTGGCTGGGATTTTGCCTGGCCTGTATGAATGTGTACCAGCTGTATCCTTAGTTGTTGCCCTGATGCCTGCTCTGCTTACATAGTAGCCCAGTCAATCTGCTAGATTCTAGTTTCACGTGTGTGCCAGAATCTGAGAGAAGAAGCTGATGAGAGAGGAGTTACCTGCTTTTCCATAAAATTCCTTATATTTTGGCTTTAATCATAACTATGTTACTGAAAGATACTGAAAAGCATTTAAAACAGCTGATGCTAATGGCATGATCAAATCTCAGTTTCCTTAGATCTCAACCTTTCTTAATCTTAGGGCAGCACTTGCTTCCGACCAGCTACACTGAGCCTCTGCCTGTGGCTTTTGAAACTGCTTCCTCTGAATTCTCTGATGTGTTTCCTTCCTTCTTTCTCCCTTCCTTTCCTTCTTTGCTCCTCTCCTTTTTCCGTGCTGCCGGCAGTGGAAGTGCAAGTCCTGACGTTGGACTGCTGGGGAATTCCTGCCTGACCTTTTCTCGTCTTCCTCTTTTTCTGTGTGTGTCCCGAGAGCTGTCTGTTTCCCCCCACCTTCATTGTTCACTCGCTCAGTTGTGTCCGACTCTGTGGGATCCCATGGACTGCAGCATACCCAGCTTCCCTGCCCTTCGCCATCTCCTGGAGGTTAAATCTTGTCTCTAAATGAGGGGAGGAAAGGGTAGGGGTGGGACGCGAGCGTCTTGTGGACGTAGCCCTGTTGACTGGCTGCGCTGTCGTCTCTGCTGCAAACTGAGGACGGCCTAAGCATTTCCGCCGGTGGGTTTGGGGACTGATGGAGTTTTTCTCTACTGTGAAGAATGAAATGCACAGAGAGCCCTGTCGGGAGAGAGGCGCTTGCAATGTCTGAACTGAGGAAGGAAGTTCCTCCGCATGTTTATCTCTGTGGTCGACATACGTGATCTTTCCGTGTGAGCTTCTGCCATTGGGCACCATTGAGGAGTGTTCAGTGATCCTCTGTCTCTGTTGGGAATCACGTAGAATGGTCTGTGGCTTCTGCTCTAATTTCTCCTCGTCTTTGACTCTGGTCAGAAGTCAGTGGTTGGGAAACATGAATTGCAGTTAGAACATTCAGGATCAGTAAGAGTTTTTTAAAATTTTGGTAGTTTTCTTTGGCAGAAGTGTTTAAAAAATCATGTATTATGCCCCACTGACCCTCTTAGAATTATACAGCCTTTTAATTTAACAGCACTTTAAGAGTGGTGATAGTTGTCCCCCTTCTCATCTTTAGCAAAGAAATTTGGTGAGCAGGCTAATGCACAGTTAATACAGTTTGATTGTCATAAATTAGGAGAAGTTGTTCAGTTGCTAAGTTGTGATTAGGGGTGGTTCTCTAAAACAATTTATAGAGTTACCCAAATAATTTTTGCTAGCCTTTTTCCAATATTTATTTTGCCTACAGTCTACAACTTTAACTCACCAGTCATTTTGCCTTTCTCTTAGTTGCAGCATGTGGGATCTAGTTCCCTGACCAGGAATCAAACACCAGGCCCCTTGCATTGGGAGCACAGAGTCTTAGCCATTGGATCACCAGGGAAGTCCCCTATAACTTGCCTTTTTTTTGATACGAGCTTATTACATAGGGCTTACCTGGTAGCTCAGACAGCAAAACGTCTGCCTACAATGCAGGAGACCTGGGTTTGATCCCTGGGTCGGGAAGATCCCTTGGAGAAGGAAATGGCAACCCACTCCAGTATTCATGCCTGGAAAATCCCATGGGCCGAGGAGTCTGGGGGGCTACAGTCCATGGAGTCGCAAAGAGTCGGACACAACTGAGCGACTTCACTTCACTTTATTGCATAAGCTACAGTTATCAGGCTTTCCTGGTAGCTCAGCTGGTAAAAAATCCACCTGCAATGCAGGAGACCCTGGTTCAATTCCTGGGTCAGGAAGATCCCCTGGAGAAGGGACAGGCTGCCCATGCCAGTGTTCTTGGGCTTCCCTGCTGGCTCAGGCGGTGAGGAATCCACCTGCAGGGTGGGAGACCTGGGCTTGATCCCTGGGTTGGGAAGGTCTGCTGGGGGAGGGGATGGTCACCCGCTCCAGTGTTCTTGCCTGGAGAATGCTATGGACAGAAGAGCCTGGTGTGCTGAGAGGAGCCTGGCAGGCTGCCGTCCATGGGGTCACAAAGAGTCAGACATGAATGAGCGACTTTCACATAGGGCTTCCCCAGTGGCTCAGATGGCAAAGAATCTGCCTGCAGTGCGGGAGACCTGGGGTTGATCCCTGGGTTGGGAAGATCCCTGGAGGAGCGCATGGCAGCCCACTCAAGAATTCTTGTCTGGAGAATCCCTGTGGACAAAGGAGCCTGGAGGGTTACCGTCCATGGGGTTGCAGAGAGTCAGATGACTCTCTGAATGACTAAGCACTATTGCATAAGCTACAATTATCAGGATTGTCCCCAGAATTACTTATAGCTTTCTGTTCATTTAAAATTTTGTTTTAAAGTCATGAATCTATTTTTTATTTGGAATGCTTTCTTCCCCTCTCAGAGTCTGGTTTGTCTGAAATCTAAACCCCATAAAGCCTTGCCTGTTGACTTTGGCTACCCAGGACCTCCAAGATTCCTGGCTATGAAACACACAATTTCCTGAATGATGTATCCTCATATTTTATTATTTCAGTCATTCTTTGCCTCCCAGGGATCGTCAGACTGTTTTCTGAATTCCTCATGGTACTAAGCATGAAGCTGCCACTTGACTAAACAGTTCCCCACATGGTTATATCTTCTTCGTAGAAGCCTTAGGACATTCGTCCCTAGTTTCTTAAGTTTCTACAGCGCCTTTGGTGACTTAGTACGGAATTCTTATATATATATTTAAATTTACTTAAAATTGGAGGATAATTGCTTTCAGTGTTGTGTGGGTTTGTGCCTACAATGGCGTGGATCAGCTGTATGTATACTTACCCCTACTGTGCCTCCCACCCTCTGGGTTATCACATGGCACTGGGCTGAGCTCCCTGTGTTAAGGAATCCTTATATTGATTGAAATGCCAGGAGATAGTCCTAACCCACCCTTTCCTGTTGTGCCTGGAGCTCTGATAAGCCTACTTTACCACTTTTAAAAAAATGCCCCTAAAGTCAGTATGGGAAGTGAGGGATTTCCCTGATGGCCCAGTGGTGAAGACGCTGCACTTCCACGGCAGGGGATGTAGGTTTGATCCCTGGTCAGGGAACTATGATCCTGTGTGTCATGGGGCATGGCCAAAAGGAAAAAAAGGAAAGGTATCTTTTTGATGTTATATGTTCTTACATAAAATAAAAGAACTTAGATTACTTGGACTCAAAGTCCAAATATTCAAATATTGACAGTTATCATTCTTGTCAATCATCACTTGACAATAATGAAAATAAGACAGATGGCATTCTGTGCACTTTCATATTCTGTAAACTGCACACTGGGGACCCCTGGTCCAGCAGTTAAGGTTCTACCCCACCACTGCAGAGTGTGGTCGGCCCTGCTTGGGGAAGTCTCACATGCCGCTCCGTGCGGCCAACAAGTAAAAAAAAGGGAACTGCTTCCACTTTTGCTGCTGAGTTTTTTATTTTAAAAGACTATAGAAGTTAAAAAAAATTGAAGCAATGCCCAAGGAGTATTAAAGCAAGTTTCCCCTTCAACACTTTCCCCAACCCTCTATTTCCGAGTTAAGAAAAAGAAATGCAAAAAAGCAAAATGGCTGTCTGAGGAGGCCTTACAAATAGCTGTGAAAAGAAGAGAATCAAAAAGCAAAGAAGGAAAGGAAAGATACACCCATTTCAATGCAGAGTTCCAAAGAATAGCAAGGAGAGATAAGAAAGCCTTCCTCAGCAATCAATGCAAAGAAATAGAGGAAAACAACAGAATGGGAAAGACTAGAGATCTCTTCAAAAAATCAGAGATACCAAGGGAACATTTCATGCAAAGATGGGCTGAATAAAGGACAGAAATGCTATGGACTTAACAGAAACTGAAGATATTAAGAAGAGGTGGCAAGAATACACAGAAGAACTGTACAAAAAAGATCATGACCCAGATAATCACAATGGTGTGATGACTCACCTAGAGCCAGACATCCTGGAATGTGAAGTCAAGTGGGCCTTAGGAAGCATCACTACAAACAAAGCTAGTGGAGGTGATGGAATTCCAGTTGAGCTATTTCAAATCCTAAAAGATGATGCTGTGAAAGTGCTGCACTCAATATGCCAGCAAATTTGGAAAACTCAGCAGTGGCCACAGGACTGGAAAAGGTCAGTTTTCACTCTAATCCCAAAGAAAGGCAATGCCAAAGAATGTTCAAACTACCACACAATTGCACTCATCTCACATGCTAGTAAAGTAATGCTTAAAATTCTCCAAACCA